GGGTGTAAAGGGTTAAACAGTAAAAACTGTAAAAACAAAAATTTATCAGTATCTTCTTGCAATCAGCTGCAGAAATATCTTGTGACCACATTTAGTCTCTTCATTTAATTATAGCATACAGTTTCCCAGACATAACCATAATCACACTGAAGAACTCAATATACATTCCAGAGCAAGATTAATTTGGAATCTGCATATATCTGCAGTTTTTCACTCAGAGTGTCTGCAGCTGTCTTGCCTGTATAATTTGACCCATCCTGTTAAACCCCAGCATAAAAGCCAGTTCACTCTGGGTTTGGGCTAAACCTTGACTCCACTCTTTCTTATTACATTAGTAAAGCAAGCTAATTGTCTTACCATATTTATGTGACAATGTCCTGCCCTCCACTTTGTTTGAATATGGCCCATCTTTTTCATTTCCATCCACCAAATATATTCCAGCAACCTGAATGTTATATGCAGTGTTCTTCTTGAGTTCAGTTATTTCAACCTCTCTTTGATCAGAACTTATGGTCATATACTTCTGATCATTGCTATTAGATTTTGCATATCTTATCTTGTATCCTGAGACAGAAGAAAGCTGGTCCCAACTGACTGTGATTGAGTTTTGGCTTGTGGTAACAACTTTGAGCCCTGTGGGTTCTATGTAAATGATACAAAATGAGATGAATGACAATTAATACTTGAAATCACATGGTCACTTGAAACTAATGAATAAAAAATTCATAATCACAAAGACAAGGAATTATCTGACAATTTTTCCAAAATTGCAATCTCACATAGATAATTCATCCACATTAATTATGCACAGTTCATGACACAGTCTGTGGTGACATTCTGAGGGACTCACTGTGTATAAGATACATTTTCCCCTTACTTATAAGTCATTGAACAGAAAGAACCATTAGATAGAATTCCAGACATGATTGGGTATTGCAGTAAACTATTCATGGGAGTAACATGAATTTTCTTAGTTTGATTAATTAACTTACCAACAAAAAGAGGTATAAAGACATCCTCATGTGAATAAAATGGTATTCCCATATGCACACTGGATAAGTTTGTCTGTACATTACACTTTATACTTGTTTTTACCTGTACATTTTATGTGTTCAATAAGCACAATCAAAACAAATGTGATCAACAACTTCTCCATGTTTTAAATCTGTGCACTCTTACAATGCACTCTCATCTACATCATCTCATGCTATGAACTAGAATGTAGATAAAGAGATATCTCAGTTTATAGTTTAAAACTATCAGGGTTGGGATTAAACTGTTTAGCCAATTCCATGTTGTGCATCTGTTCAGTAATAGATCGCAGACGATGTCAAAATGTTGCAAGAACAAAAAAACTGGCTCATAAGGGGAGTAGCCAAAGGTGTCATTGATGTTTTAACCACATTTTTAAAACTTTCGTACACCATCATTAACCAGTGCAGACGCACTACAGTATAAATTCCACTTGTTTTGAACTGTAAATTAAAGAAACAAAATTTTGTTGATATTGACGGATCAGTGCGTCTGACCCGTCCTACGATTGTTTCTAAATTAGACCTCATCAAACTGTTTGTTTAAGGCAGCATATTGCATAAAGAGTAATTATTGGGCTTTAGAAATCTCGTCCAAGTATTTTTTGTTTCAAATCGTTTCTTAAGACTAAAGCCAACGCATCAAAAGTGAATTACCCGAAGCGGCAGCCCACAAGAAAGAATATATTTGATATGCAGTAAAAGCATCATTTCTCTTCCAAATGTACCAGCTGAAAAACAGTTTAAGCGGCCTTTGACGAGTCACCCGTGTGTAGAGCTGAATAAGTGAAATGACAATGAAATTAAACTAAATAGTGGTCTGTTACTGAGAAGTTGTAAGAATTTGATTAATTGGGCTTTCAACCTAGGACTCAAAAAAGTGGTTGTAAAACAAGATTTCATATAAATGAAACCGGAACATGATATTTTTACGACATAAAATACCAAGAAAGAGTGTAAATGAAATGACCAAAAGAGCAGTTTAAGCTCTTAAACTTACCTCAAGAGAACTCAAGTATATATAGCTGCAGATTTAACTCAGGTAAGGAGTAGTAAAACGTTCAGGCTTGTTTTAGTTATTTACCACTGACAAGCTTGCACTATTAAATAAATCGAACGCAATAATTTTGAGTATTATCAGTTAAAAGAATGTATATAAAAGTAATTAATTCTCTTACATGAACCACGATAATTCGTCGGAAATCCTGTCCTAACAGTTCGCACGTCACACAACTTCGTCAGCTATGACGCAGACGCCACACGGGAGAATATAGCGGAAAACTGGCGGGAAATGCTCCTTCTCGTCACCAGGGCCTTTCATGCGTGACGGGTGATTGGGCTTAGGCGCCAGTATTTCATGTCGCAGATGGTCTTTTTTTTTTTACAAAAGAAAATTTCTGCACTTCAGATCGTTATTGTTGTGCATTTTGCTCGTGAGCGCAACTGGAAAACTTGTTTGTTCAATGCAGGCAGGACTTTCCTTCCAAGGCATGCAAGGGTACCTTGAGGCTTCGCCCAATCTTTACTAGTTCGCCGCCAAATCTTTCGTCTCGTTTTCCTCAATGAATAGATTTTTAAAATTTCTTGTTATGAAATGCATATTGACTTCGTAGGCAATATCCAAATTCTAAGCTATACTTGTCCTCATGCGACTGTAGGAGTAATGAAAAGCCGTTACATTACACCACTCCTTCGGTAACTTAATTGACAGATTTATTGTTAATATATCGTTAGAATTGAAGCAAAAATAAAGGACTATTTCCCTGCCTTACATCAGCACTTCGCACCAACCAAAAAGCTGAAACAAAAATTTTCTCCAAAAAAAGATTGGATCAGTATCAGTAGCTGAGCGTAGCTCTCTTGGTTAACTGGTCTTTTTTGTAAGTTTTTAATCCCCCTCGATCGACTTTACAAGTTTAGTTAAAAATATATATATATAAAAATATATATCAGTAAAAAATGCTAGTTAGAACTAGTCTTCGTTGAAATTTGACTTGGGAAATTAAAATTTGTTTTCTGATTCCTAAAACTCGCTTCTGTGGTTCTTACTTTGTTGAGGTTTGGACCAAATTTTATCAAGTTTATCTCCTGCTGATGTGCATTCCACACTTTAATCTCCTTAAACATTTTAAGCAGCATATGACAGTTTGCAGCCTTTCCCTACATCTAGCCGAAAAACTCAAGAACAAAAATTTATCTTTCAAATCTGCACTAGTGCGGAATCAATGAGCGCTTTTCATTCAACTAATTTATTCTTGTTTTCTCTCCACCATATTCCCACCAATAGCGTTGCTCGATTTTCTGCATATAACACACACTCAACCCATGATTCCTCCAATCGCTATAATGAAGGGCTAGCACTCGAATCTGCAACTTTTAAACTCTTTACGGGGGCCAATTTACGTTCATTTATTATCAACTCCGTTGATAATACTAAATTATTCTGTTATTACTCTCCCATCAACGTAGCACCGCAGTTTCTTTAGAAACTTACCCCTTTACTGTTGAAAATTATACTCATCAACGGATGCAAAAATGAAACGCTTAACTTCGCTTTATCGAAAAGCCGTTGAGCTCAATAGTCCTTGTTTCTCAACACACAATCGAATTGAGCTCAGAAAGCTTAATTTCAAAGTGTGCGCCCGCTTATTTTCGTTTCATAGTAATATACGTAGATTCTGTAAAACTTCCTTTCAGTCGTGTTTTTTTGTTTTGTCAGAACGGTAAAAGTAGTAGATAGCAGTCATCACCACTAAAAAAGGATGGAGTTGGCTGCGCATTCAACAAAAATACTTTCAAACCATCTGGGTCGCAATAATCATCGGCTCTGATATTTTCAAGAGTTTCTTACTTGACGCGCAGTAAAAATGTTTAGTGTGAGCGTGCACAGGAGAAATGGTCCCTTGCACTGGGTGTGACCGTCCTTAAGTGTTCATGCGATCAGGTACTTTAATAAGTTCAATTCACGCCTGTCTAGACGAAGTCCAACGTTTGACCAGTTTAGTTGCATTTTCACGGTCATTAGAGGGACCTATAGATCGTTTTCACAGGATATTCCGACGGTCATATTGGCTACCGAAACAATAGTGACTCACGGCCATGTTAGTACTGCACTAAAACATATATTTAGGAGCAGATTTTCTTTTTTACAATAACCACCCAGTAAAAACAACGAAGCATTGATTTAGGAGGTTAATATATCAATGTTTAGCAATACTAGCGAAAACTGCCCAAAATTTTAAAATCGAGCATTAGGCATGGTTGAAATTTTGAACGTTATCCGTTTACCGATTTACACACCTCGAGCCTGGTCATGATCACTATGAATAAATAAGCTCTGAATCAATCCCCATGAACGCAATCGGCCAACAAATACAAGTTGCATGCATGGATACCACTTTCCCGTGATTTTATCTATTGCAATCCAGCGAATAAATGTACAAAATCTACTACGTTAAATAACAGGTAGCGGTAAATCTGCTAAATGAAATCATCCTTCCTTTGAAAAACGTTTAAAAGAATTACTACATCAAAATGGCATAAGAATGCTATTAGTTAATTAACACGACAACTGAGACTGTGTTGGTCACTCATGGTAAGATTCCAAGACCTATTAGGTCTAATTGATGAAGTTGCAATTAAAGTTGTCCAATCATGAGTGTTTGACTACAATAAAAACCTAACACTGTAAAAGAAACCATTATCAAAATGGCAAAGTGAAATCTAATGAGTGCGTGCACTTGAAAGCAGCCCCTAATAAAGTTATGCTATGGGAGAAAACTGAAATTGTTCCAAAGTTAACGTGACAATGATATCTCCTTCACAGCAACAGCTTATTTTAATTCTGATAGTGATTCGAAAGGTCGATTCAAGATGATTTGGTGGTTTTTTCGAACAGTCCTAAAGGCGAGTCGTTTATCAATTGCCTATGGTAAACAAGGAAAAAATTTCTTATTCCTTTGCATCCACCTAATCTTCCTCCTCAGCAGACTCAAAACTTTCTGGTGAATCGAACCAGTTTTCTTGTAAATCCTTGGATTTCCTAGCTTGCATGTGGAGATCAAACCACAAAGAAAACAGTTCAAGGTCTTCACAAAATTCTTCGGCATAGTGAACATTTAAAAGATGATTAATCCGATCCAACCTTGCCAATATCTCAGCTGCCTCAGGTAGAATATCTTCCTCAATCTCCGTGTTCGGTAAATCATACGCAGATTTGTCTTCATTCGCCCTTAAGCGGTCGCCCACGCAGCTTAGTAGTTCTCTCGTTTTCATTATCACGAAGTGTCCAAGACCAAATTCTCCTCTGGAGAGTTCCCTGATGCGGCCATAATTATAAACAAGAACAGAAACGAAAATATTTATGCATATGAGATTAAGTCCTAATTTTAACGCTGTAAAGTAAACGGGGCCAATGACTGAGCAACAATCGTTAAAATAGTCCACTCCGCCACCAACGACTCCTTCGACTAGAAGAGACTGTAGAATGAGGAAAGGCGAAGAAAAGGAGTAAAGTTCTCTCCCAAATAGAATATATCCTACATGGATACATCCAAATATGAACACAGCGAATACAATTGAGCAGTGAACGAGTTCCCGAGCAGATCCCTTCATTACATGGAATAAATGCCTCACACGGGGATTGAATTTGAGCAAATACAGCAACTTCAAAGTGTTCAAGAACATCAGTAACGATAAAAATACCGTTTCTAAGTCTTGTAGAAGAACTCCCCAATCGAAGCTGATAAATTGAAATGTGTTTTTCTCAAGTTCAGCTGTGGTAGCGAAGAGCTTTGTTTCTTTCATAATGTGAGCAGTTAGAAAGAAAATGACTGATATAGTCTGCAGGATTTCCACCCAATTGATAAAACGTGAGAAATACAGTCGAATTCCCTCGATCATCTTCCTCGTTTCCTTGATAACAAAGTATATGATATAAACCACTAGTAACAATTGACAGGTTATGGTTACAGTACTGTAGCCCCCACCAATGTCATATATGTGCATAGTATGAATCACGTGATTAGAAACCACGAGACCACTTGGCGAAAACTCAATCAGGATCCAAATCACACTGAACAAATTTACCTGAGAGTTAAAAACTGCGCACTCAAAAATTAATGCACTGGTAAATCTGTCAATCCAGTCAAACAGGTTTAGTTCAGAGATGACGTTCAGTGCTGTAGTTTTGTCATAGCCCAACTCGGCCAGGTAACCTCCTTCACCATAAAAATTAAACAGATGAAGTTTTCCCCATAAGGGAAGATTTAGTGTTTGCTGGGCTGAAGAATAATTCCAAGCACTTGGACAGACCTGAGGAAGACTAACGAGTGACTCATTCCTAAATGAGGAAGACAAACGCCATTTTTTTCCAAGGGAGCTGGTTTTGTCCTCGTTAGTAAATGTATATGTAGCCACGCAAGAGTTGAGTGGGGTTGTCAATTCCTCTATGCTGACATCACAAGAACCTTAAAGTGGAAAAAGACCATAGTGTTTATTGTTTCATCTTTGTGATAGAGATATCGTGTGCATGAGATGCTAATTAATTCATAAATTGATGACTAATGATTAAGGTTTTCATTTTCTCTCCTCAATGGAAGCTGCCTAATGAAATGAAATGATTTTGCATAATCTTCATGAAGCACAATTTTTCTGTGCAGGTTACCCGAAATTTTAAATATCCTAATTCTTTTATATATTATTCAAATCAAGCTCATAATCATTGGCACACCCAGCAATTCACGTTGACAGTTATTCAAAGTGATCTGCTTCTCGTCAAGTCGAATATAGTTTCTACGAGTTTTTTTTACTCCACTCAAAATTTGAAGTAAGAACGCTTATATAAACTGCTATAAAGCTTATATAAACTGAACTGAAACCAGTTTGTCGACGAGATAAATTCAGGGAGCAATTTTGTTTGGTCTTCGTTTAAACACTTCCTTCAAAATACCTTCTTTGACTCGTAGCTGCCTAAGACGAGGCATCCCAACGAGGACAGCGTCGCCGTCTCCAATGTAGAGCCTGGAACTATTTGAGGTAACATCTTTTCCGTCTTCAAAAAGCCCGGGTACCAAAACGTCACGTAACCAGTTCCACGTGTTGAAGTGATTTGAGATCTAAATGTTCGGCGTGATGAATAAATAAATTAGTAACTAAACAAATAAATATTCTTGGAATTAAGTCGATAATACTTAATTAACCTTTTATACTCTCTCACCGACGCAGCATCACAGTTTCTTTAGAAACTTACCCCTTTTATTCAAAGAAATATTCATACAGTTGACTGAATATTCGGCAACCGTAAATGGTTGTTGCTTGTGATCTATCAGATTATCAAGGCATAGCTGACGTCAAACAAAAGCAATTTCCCTTGCTTTGTTTGATACAACAAAAAGTACTTTCGAGATTTCTCCTTAAAATTTAAAACTTTCTTCGCTCTTTTGCCGGGGAATGGAAATACTAGATTGAATTTTAACCTTTATCAGGGATTCTATCATGTGCCCATGTACTTAGCGCGCCGGTCTAATTGGCGATTTGAAGCCGAGCTGACACACATCCATGCAGCTATACCTTTGCCATAGGAAACCAGTTCCTAGCAACTACGAAAATACGTTGACAGAAACTTGTCTATTTAAAAGTAGCTTTGATAGCTTTTTTTTTCTAACTACTTCGATAGTTTCCTTAAATAAACTTCACGGAACCGTTTCTCGAAAGTCTTGGTAATTACTTGTCCCCAAAAAGTTGATTTTTGTTGGTCTCGTTCACATTCAAGATCGAGGTACGGATAGGTTCGAGAATCAGTCAGTCAGGAAATGAAACTAAATGTTTTGGTTGTTCAAGTCAAGACTCGCAACTCTGGCTCCTAGATTTAGATTGAAATTATGACCTCAGGCCCGTAAAGTCACCGACACCTTCGACAAACAAGCCTTTGCAAATTTCTGTTAACATTATAAGTTAATAGTATCCATTCTTACTAAAGTAAACTGGTCTGAAACGAGAAGATTAGCCTATAATGAGAAGTAATTTACGTACCGTATTAAGTTCTCCAAATGTGTTCTTCATGGAAGATGTCATCATGTATCCATGCTTGCTACGTCCACCGTAACAAACAATAAGTAAAATTAACAAGTACAGTAAGTACGATACTATATTCCGAAGAGCTGTATACATATACATTTCCCTCATTCGAGCAGCCCTTACGCGACGTAATTTTCTCTTCGTTAAGGGCTTTGGTGTTTTAAGTTCTTCTTTTTCGACCTCATCATAGTCTAGTCCACCAACTGTAATATCTTCGAGATTAACCTCTGTGTCTACAGGGCTAGAAATCCAGGTGGACCTATCACATGTACTTTTGAAAAGATGAGGCAGTATAAAAGCAACGACGATGATTTTCGCTGGTTCCGTTACAAATAAGTCCACCAAAATTGACATTGCAACCGAAATAAGCCACTGCTCACTTGTATTTGCACCCCATTGTAGACTGTAGAAGATAACAAAAGCCGCCGCACAAGTCGAGAGGAGGAAACACAAGAGCCAAGGAACGTAAATAAACCAGCGTGGAAAAGAAAACTCGCGTTTTATCTCGCTAAATTTCGTCCTTGCGTTGGTTTTGAGAGCCATTTGCTTATTCTCATTCAAGGATCGAGTACGAGCAAAAAGTTGCACGGTCAAAATGTAGGCAGGAAATACAACCATGAGGCTCTCCACTCCAATGATGAATTCTCTGAAGTTTACAACAAAACGGCCCAACCTTAGCGTTCCCTGTGTGTCGTCCATCGCTGTTCTATGTTCGTAAAACATCGCACTAGTTAGCATAATTGTCAGCATTAATACTAGACAACAAGATAAACGTTGCACGCGACTAAATCGATATCTTGGTGGTCTTGCAGCGACAGAAAACCATAAATGTAAATCACTGACTTCTTCAGCAATTCTGTTCCGAACATACGAGGAAAAATCAATTCCTCTGTCATCCGCTGTTGTGAAACGAAAGGTACGATCTATTAATCCATCACCTTTATTAACTGCCAGCCACGTAAAACATACAAAGTTCCTTTGTATCTTACTGAAGAGATCGCTAACCTTGATCTGATTCAAAAACCATGATGGACTGGTGCCCTCGTTGTCATGCCATACTCGAACGGTTTTTATGGTGCCAATGTTAACAGGAATGGAAATAACGAAGGAAATAATACTCCCTCTTGCAAAAGGAATGCACGAATGGTGCTTCAAATGGTACGGTCGACTGGTACCTAACTCTCCCTCCAGTACAACAAAAACGTTGGCAGTGGTTCCCGAGTTTCGCCAGATGCCCGTAAATACTTGAACCTCGACAAAGTGATACCAAGGTACGGGTACTCCTATGAATGCCCTCTCACCCACCTTCAAGGGGAGAAAGGAGAACTGGTGTAAGTATGTTCAAAATGGACACAACCTGTAACTATAATGGAATAAAATGACTTTTTAAAGGGCATCATTTTTATCTGCGACCGTCATTTAAGAGTGCTAATAAGCTATATGTCCGACCACTATCAACAAACCTTATACGTGGGTTTAGGGTTCACCTTTACTACATATAGCTTCCACTTGATTTCAAAAATTTATTTTAAGTGACAAATAGGCTCTGTGTAAAGTGTTTATACTCGCTCTACCGAAGCTGAAATTAACTACCAATGATTTCAACAGCATTCCATATAGCATTTCCGCGTCACACAACCGAAGTCACCTTTCTGCTTTCATTTCTCGCACCATTTCTTTTGATCCCCCAAGAAATGGCTCAGTTAGCATTTTCAGCTTGAACATTTTCCTTCGAATTTGAGTTTTGATAGCCAATTTCTGTCATTACTTCGTCTAACGATCAGAGAAGATCTGGCTAAGCTTACTCTCGTTAAGCAAAATTCGTCGGGTAGCAATGAAAGAACCAGTCAGCTGTGCGACTGATGAGGGTATTAGGAGCTTGCAATCAGTCATTCAAGGCTCACTGAGCGCGAGTTAGACAGAGGCCAGTTGTCTTTTTGGACGCACATATTGGTAATAATTAGAAATTACATTTTTACCTTCGCGAGATCAAGTTTGTCATTTCGTCTAGCCCATAGCAGCATTCCCAGATAGAGACCAAACACACAGCCAACTGCTATTATAACAGCGAAGTTTCCACTATCCGGTAAGCGAACCAGCTCTGTGAAAACCTTATCAAAATCGATGGGAGTGGGCGCCACAAGTAACTGACCACCAAAAGCACTCAGGTGATTACAAGAGCAATGTATGTGATCTTGAGTTGTCACTTCGCTTACCTGCAATGAAACAGTTTTCATCAACAGTTAGATTTTGGTGTTGATTCCAAGTAAAGGTGAACATGTTGGTGGGAGGAAAATAAAGGGAAGCAAGCTAAATAACATGAAATTAAGGAGCCATTGATAGAGAAGGTAACGCTCTAGGAGTTACTAGTCTTATGGCCACCGTATGATAATATGTTGCAAGCTCTATGGGAAATTTGAGAGTGAAATTAAAAGCTAAGGTAATAACTAAAATAGTGACTCGAAAACTTGTTTAATCATCATTACACACCCACCAATAAATTTTAGCGCATGTCAGTAATCAATATGGCGGACGGTCACGTTTTTAGAGCTCTTAGATGCTGGATCATTCTGCTTTATTTCTACGTTTGTTTCTCTGGTGCACTCCTTCCCAAGGCTAATCCTGACCTCGATATATCTGGTGATACTCTTCTCTTCATTTCTCACGGTCTGACGACAGTGAGAATTCAACCTTTTAACCATCGGTCACCGAGCTCGCAACATGCAAAGAATCTCCAGTTGCCGAATTCAAGACTTCTACTCCTTGGATGCCGTTTTGCGATTAATTCCTCTCTTTCCTTACTACTCATTCGTCTCGCAAATGATGTTGAACTTCAACCTGGTCCTGTTGGCTCCTCTAGTTCACATGACATCCTGTCTGATCTTCGGGATTTGTCAACGAAAAATGGGCTTACAATTATTCATCAAAATATCAGAGGCCTCGTGGCGAACAGGGATAGTCTATGCCAAATGATCGATGATTCCAAGCATATAGACATCATATCCCTCAGTGAGACTCATCTATCGGACAGTGAAGAGGCTCAAGTTCAACTGGATGGCTATACGTTCATTAATAGACCAAGGAAAACAGGCAAAGGTGGAGGTGTGGGAGTTTATATCTCCTCTTCTGTCCCCTTTCATAGAAGACTAGACCTGGAACGCGATGGGATCGAATGTATCTGGATAGAAATTTTATTTCCAAAATCTAAGGGTATCCTTATTGGTTTTATTTATCGCCCCCCGAGTTCTTCAAAGCATCTTTGTGCAGATTTTGAAAATAAACTGGAGTCGATGCTTTCTGCTGTATCATCTGAAAACAAAGAATGCATTTTGACAGGCGATATCAACTGCAACTATTTGGTAAGCTCAGACAACAAAGAACTGAAGGCAATGCTATTGTCTTTTGGCCTTAAACAGCTAATCAAGGATCCCACGAGGGTAACGCAAGATTCAAAAACACTGATAGATGTGATTTACACAAATCGCCCTCAGAATGTTTATAGTGTTAAAGTCATTCCCGCCGGCTTAAGTGACCATGATATGATTGGTTGTGTCCGGAAGCTGCATAACCATAAATTCCAGCCAAGAACCATCACCTGTCGAAACTATGCTAATTATGATCCTATATCCTTTTGCAATGATTTACGGTCCAATAGTTTCACACCTGTCTTTAAATCCTCCTGCGTTAATGAAGCATGGTCTTTTTTGAAAGCCATTCTGAAAGAATGTATTGATAAGTATGCGCCAGCTATAAAGAAGAGGATCAAAGGGAAACTCAGCCCATGGCTTACACAGAAGGTAAAGCAAGAAATGAATACCAAAGATCAGCTTTTGAGAAAAGCGAGAAAGACAAATCGTGAAATTGACTGGTCTTCGTACAAGCGCCAACGAAACAAAGTTAACGGTATGGTAAAAATTGCAAAAGCAGGTATCACCGTGAACTCTTAGAGGAGACTGTGGGTTCACCTAACAAATTTTGGTCAGCTATTAAAAACTATACCCTACAAAGTCTACAAAGGAACCAGGAGCAGCTTTTCTCGTTAATGAAGCAGTAGAAACCGACAAAGAGGTTATTGCAAATTTGTTCTGCAAATTCTTCACTGATGTTGCGCGATCTCTAAAAAGAAAGATCTTCCCTCTTTGCAATTTTGTCTGGAAAAGGCCCCTTACAATAGACACCCAGCAGCCGCTAGAGAACTTTGAGTTTAGATCAGTCTCGAAAAGGTTGTCTTTAATGCATTAAAGAGCCTTAAGAGAAATAAGTCCTCTGGCCTTGACAACTTTCCTTCTGGAATGTTAAAGGACTCTGCTGATATAATAGCCAAGCCTCTCACGCATATAATTAACCTGTCTCTCGCAACAGGGTCTGTACCTACTGACTGGAAAGCGGCTAAAATTGTACCACTTTTTAAATCTGGTTCAATGGCCGAAATCGACAATTATAGGCCTATTTCAATACTTCCCTCAATGTCAAAGATCCTGGAGAAAGTGGTATTTAAGCAGCTGATGGCTCATTTTGAACAGAATGGTCTACTTTCTCATTTTCAGTACGGCTTCCGTCGCATGCGCTCTACTGAACTGGCCGTTACTCATCTTACCGATGTTATCAGAAGAGAAGGTGAGAATGGTAACCTGACAGGCTGTGTTTTCATCGATCTATCCAAGGCGTTTGACACCATCAGTCACTCTGGCCTCCTGAGCAAGCTTTCAACTTACGGAGTTCGTGGAACAGAACTCGCATGGTTCACTGATTACCTTTTCTGCAGATCACAAGTTGTCCAATATAAAGGCGTGCTATCAGAACCTCAACCCATTCTCACAGGTGTTCCTCAGGGAAGTATCCTGGGTCCTATCTTATTCATTATCTTTTTCAACGATGTACATAAACCGCTTCAACACTCGAAGATTATCACTTATGCCGACGATTCAGTCATCTATACCTCTTCTAAAGATATTGATACTATACAGAGAAGCCTTAGCGAGGATATGAATAACCTGTGCGAGTGGTTTAAAGACAACGAACTGATCATTAACCTAAAAAGGACAAGACGGAGTCTATGTTATTTGGAACAGCTAAAAGAATCAACCTTCAAGACAAGGAACTTAAACTTTCTGCTAATGGGTCACTCATCAATAATACCTCTACCTATAAGTACTTAGGTGTTCACCTTGACTCATCACTAAACCTCGCATCACATTTTGACCGAATCTATAAAAAGCTGCAACCAGAATCAATCTCTTGCGATCAATTCGTCCTTTGATCGACCAAAAGTGTGCAGAATCGATCTATAACACTATGATCGCACCTATCTTTACCTATTGCGGAACACTTGGTCTTAGCTTTCCGGATTACCGAAAGGAAATGATAAAGAACATCGAACGACGAGGCTTTAAAGTTATCGGCAATAGTTCTTTTAATCCCCATCCGTGAACAATTTGATCAAGCGTAAAAGCTGTCTGTTTGTTTTCGACTGTCTCCTGAATAATGTTTGCACACCCTTTAAGAACTACTTCGAAAGGCTGGTTCATTCTAAGGCCACTAGGAATAACGGTATATCAGTGAAATTACCCAAAGTTCGTTTAGAATTTGGTAAAAAAGAGCTTCTATTACCAAGGAGCAAAGACTTTCAACAACCTGCCTGCTGAACTAAGGTCGTTAGATTCGAGACTGAAATTTAAGAACAAATTGCGAGATTATTTTAGTTAAATTCTATCTAAACGTGGTTATAGGTATCTTTTTCAGAGTATTTTTATTTAATTTTTAATTTTTTCATTTTATTGTATGCTTTTCTAGACCTTAAGATCAATGATTATATCTTGTTAAATTTTATTTTATTTATTTATTTATTATTTTTGACAGGACCCCAAGGACAACAGTGTTACACACTGATGGGTTTCAATCCTGTATAAAAATTCGTTATTATTATTATTATTATTATTATTGGCTATTTAACGCCACGTGGCGCAAAATCACCGGTCCGTATCACGTAAAAGTTTACCTCGATACTTATCCTCCGACTATTTCCGTCGAAAAGAAACAAAGCCAGCGGAAAAACAACGTAAATACAACGTAAATACAATGTAAGAGTTTCACTCTTTCATCGTTATTACTTTACATGGAAGAAAGCGAACTCGTTTGGTCGAGTACAGGGATAATGACATTAGAAAGTTGATCTCAAATGCCCCGGTCAATAAAATCTGCTGTCAACGCGCGATCTGAAAATTAATAGGAGGGTTTTCAAATAAATAAACCCTGTTTGGTTTCTGGTATGTCGGCTGATAATAAACCCTGTTTTGGTTTCTGGCATGTCGGCTGATAACAAACCCTGTTTTGGTTTCTGGTATGTCGGCTGATAACGTCCTTGGCTGAGAGATTTTCCTCAAATTCACAAGTGCCCTTGAAGCTTTGCTCCTTGGCCAAATCCTTATTTTCGGACATTATCAGCAGACATACCAGCCGGATAAAGAAGTTCATTAAATAAATATTACGTCGCAAGGTTACAGTTTACAGCAAAGGTTATCATAACTTCTCATATTTCACCTTGCATCCGTCAGACGTCCACTGCGATATTTCCACGTTCCAGTAAAGACAAGCAGCCGGCATCACTTGTATGGTGTAATTTTCATCACCTTTCCGGTACTGAGGTACACTGAAACTTTCACCCTTGATGGGCGGTGCTTTGAACTGCACACATGATTGCTCTGCGCAACGTGTCACTCGAGAGATCTTAGGAATCCTTGACACGGCTGTAAGACTGATGAAGTAATAACCAAAACCTTTTCTCTCTATAAAATCCTGGTTCATGAAGGCTATATAAGGATCCCGTGAACAGTTGACATAACCATCTGGAACCTTATTGCAAGACGAAAGGTCAGGTATTGTTAAATTCAAGTCGCTGTTATTTTCAGACCGCTTTCCATATTTAACAGTCACCAAAAATTTTGTCTCATTGCTTTCTGGTCGAATCTTTAGCATCAACGCCATCCCAGTTTGGTTGACATTTAACTTATAGAAAACAGTTCTGTTGGCTCCAATGAAATGAGACTGAGAAGCGTTTGTGAATTCTTGGAGGTTCTGAAGTCTTATAGCAATCGGGGCTGTCAGTTCTGTAGTATTCAGGAAATGACCAGAACTGTTCTTAAGTTCAAGGCTTGAAACTGCAGTCGTCACTCTTGAACCTGAGGGGTCCCAAGAAAAAGGTGTAAAGTCTGTTGTTACCATCTGCAGACATAAAGAGAGAAAAGAATATTTGTAACTGCAAACGTCTCTCAAAGCAGTTGTTGGGGACCTTCTCAACCTTTCTTTTGATTTCACCAAAGATTCACGGCTTGAAAAGCGCAACAGATGTTTATTCAACTTCCCACGGTCGATTCAGCTATAGGTGAAACAAAAGTTAACAAATTTTTCCTCTTAGTTCCGAGCAAGGTATCAGTTTCCCCGCTTTGTGACGGCAAGTTTTGCTATTAAGAAATAAACTGAAGCCAACACTACTTTAATTAACGAACAATATAGGGCGAGGGGATTTGACATTAATCAGCTGGTTTCAAAAAATACGTTTAGTCAAATTCGCCGGCTTTGTGTTATAAAGTCTTGTCTTGTCCTTTCGCCCCCATCAAAATGGCAACTTGTAGAAGTGTCAAAGTGGAAGCTTTTTATTAAAGCACAAGCCCATGTAGACAATCCCCTTAACAGCCAGAACGTCCACACGTGTACTCACAGGTGTATTCACGGCGCATTCTTCAACACTAACAACGGCGCAATATTCTCAATGAAGTTAGGTGATGCGCCATCAATAGTTCCTGCACCTACCTGGCTATCTACAAACTGAGTAACATTAGCCAACTGGATGGCTAATGAAGTTAGCTGAAAACTATTTCCTTTGCTTGTCAAAACAGTCCTAGCGAACATATCCGGCTCCTCTCTCAGCACTAACAGGGACATGGCTTGGGCTGTAAGCTCTTTCTGCCCCTCGCCAACGAGAGTTCGGGACAAGATAATACTTCCGATCTCTTTCAAAGACTGGAGTATACTCTCAACGTGGACTTGAGCCTGAAACAAAACATACATAAAAACAGTTGTCGCTGTCAACATTAATTATGGCTTATAACAGCTATTTAATTTTTTTTTGCTAACGTGGGGTGTCAGTCCAATTGCCATAATTTCACCATCACACTAACGATCAGGATTTGAGCTTTTCTTTTCGAGATAAGATAACTTTAACTCAAAATGTCTCTTATACCCGGAAATGTGGCAAGAAATTGATCTCACGTCTAATAACCCTTATTTATTGTAGTTTATTTTCATTTACAAAGTAGGTTTTGAACACGTAATCCTAAACGGTTATTTACCTGTAGCTGAGCGTCAGAAGAGTCTCTTTCGCTCCTTCTGACCCATAAATACGGCAAAGTTCTTGACCTGAATGCTAACTTTCGGCTCTGACGTGAAAGTCGTTCATCTGTAGTTATGAAGCTGGCTTTGATGTCAGACTTCTCCTGCGAATGCGAATCGTATACACCAGCTTCATGTGATACTACCCTCAGAATGCTGCCAAGACCATTCACAAGACTTTTTGCGCCATAATAAAGCGAGTCGTATCTTTCCCCTGCTGTACTCTCCTCCTTTAATACTGAAGTCATCTTTTCAAGCGCATCCGTTGCTTCTTTCTGCAAGAAAAAAAAATTAAAGGACCCGAATACTGACTCGTTTATTTTTTATTTTAGCTAAGGAAGTGATCCTCATTTGATATTAAAGCATTGCCTGGTTATAAATTACCTGCGCTTCGACAGTAACCTCGTTAATGACCGAGCTGGCAGACGCAATCACATTTGACACCTGCTGGACTCTAACGATAGTATCTACAGGGATCGTGGACAACAGTTGTATGATGTTTGATTTCATCTATATCAATTGAAAGAAGACACGAGGTGAGCTTAGGCGTTCAAAACTGCTGAAAACAAACAAACAAAAAGAAGATCGTAATGTTCTCCAAATATGTGAATCCTCTCAACCGTAAAGGTATGCCGGTAGGATGAAAAAAAATGCAAAAAAGGCGATTATCACTTTCTGTAACGCAATACGTTGTTCTCAAGAGTCTTTATAATAATATCAAAACCACTGAGGGATAACTTCACTAGCCCATAAATCTGACTTATCAGCTTTTCAAGGTCGCCATGACAAATACAATAAAACAACAAAATGTTGGTGGAGATAGGCACCGTGCCAACGAAGTGTCGCACCAGCAAACCCGGCCATGCTCTACGCTGTAAGCAGAGCTCTAGCCCAGACAAGCAACAATGCGCCTTAATCAAGCCACTGACAAGTAAATCACTGAGAATTTACATAATCGAACCTCCTGGAAGAGGTTCTTTTGAGAGGTTTCACATGAAGTGGTTCCACATAGTAAATCGTTACCATAATCCGTTTCTCTGTCCAATCCAGGGCCTGGCTGTCCGTCTTTTCCGCAAGTGCAATGGCATCAACAACCGAAATGGCTGCTGCCGTTAATTGTAGAGCACGTGACACATCACCCGACTGAATCAAATAACGCAGTTCACTCTCAACCTCGGATGTGAGATTTTTGACAATGCCAGAGAGGTTCGCTTGTTCAATGCTGGGTTCTAAAACCTAGAATAAAATGAAATACAGCAGTCTACAAATGGTTTATAAGAACTTCATCTTATTGTAATTGACTGAGAAAATCATCAGGTGGCGCAGAAAAGAAAGTGATGAATATGCAACATTATTTCTTAAACGTCTCTGTTTCTTACCTGTACGGGAGTCTGCACTTCAGTGAATACTCCGAACATGTTCGTCACTCTCACGCGAACATCAATGGTAAAGTTATTTTTCTTCTCCCCAGCAGGAAGTTTGGTTGTTACACTAGATTTTACCCCTTTGTATGCCACATTGAGAAGATTGTTGTCTGTGAGGTAAATAAATTCATACTGCAACTGAGGGTCTGGATCCTGCCAATTATCACAAGCAAAAGTAAACTCTGTTGCAAGAGTGATTCCTGATAATGGGCTCACATTGCATACTCCTCCAACAGGGGGACTGTTTGAGGTCACATGGTACTCGGAATACCCGCGGTATCCACCTGGTCGTTGTGCAGTCAATATAAACTTATACCTGGTATCGGGTGTCAGCACTCCAGGCTTAGTGACGAGAGATTTTGATGAAACTCGAGTAATTATCAACTCTTGTATTTCTAAAACCTCAGTCCACTGAGAACTGTTTGAAGAGCTACTCAAGTCTTTTAAAACTGCCCACTTGAAGATAAGGGTACCATGACATGAGGCACCTGTACACATGCCTTGTAAAGCCATTCTCCCAGATGGGTTCAGTTTGGCATCGCAGTTTTCATCACACCTGTAGGTCATTTGGGTAATGTAGTTAAAACAGATTCACTTCATCTCTTATCAAGACTCAATTCCTTACTTGGAAAACGATAAGAATTACGGTTGAGCCCACAGTAATGGCCAATTCTTTAAGCTGACCACTTTTTTCTTTGTCCCAAGTTTATTTCGCAAAAGCGAGTATCAGTTTACAGTAATAAACACAACAGTTCTCTCTGAAACAGATGTATACAGCACTCACCTTGCAGAGCTTGTTTCGCTTTGTTTTATCATTTATGCAACATTTTATTGAGGAATATCAATTTTTGCTGTCTATTTTTTATTGTTATACTCAGATACAAACATTTTTATGTAGGAAAGTACGTACTACATAGAACTCTAATGTATGTCATATTTGACATGGTTGCCACAGTCATAGGAATATAAATATCTCTGACTTTTCTCTGACAAACGAAAAAAATTCCATAACGAACTGATTAATTTATTTCACAAACGAAACCTGATACACGACCTAATGGCAGGTGAAGCTCAAACGACTGGTTTTTCAAGTTTGAAATACCTGATTTGCACTTCCGGTGGATCGCCGGGAACGATAAACACTTCCTGAGTGTACCCAGCTTGCCTGTCATCCTTTGTTACCAAAACTGTTATAAAGTAAGAGGTGTTTTCTGTCATAAGACTGTTGTTTACTCTAAGTTGATGTCCAACAGATTCTTTATCATCAGCCCTATAGAAACATCCTACTTCATCTGAGTTATTAAGATCCAGAGATGAGTCTTGTCTGCATGACCACGTAAAATTAAGGCCTGAAATATTATAGAATGGAATAGATAATAAATGCCAGTTACAATCAGTTTGAATTCATTTGACTCCAACAATCAGTCTAATATTGTCATCTTTCTCAGCAACAACCATATTAATTATGCTGGTTGCTCTCTTTGAATCTTATTTTCTGATCATGTTAGATTTTGTCACCAAACGTATAGTTATATTTTTTCTAACTGACCTGAAAATGTTTGATTCTCCTGATCAGGATCATATGAAAGGGACGCATCAAAAATCAATATTCCATCCAGTCCTCTGGCCACCTTTCTTCCTCCAGCAATGGATGCCACTAGAGAGCTACTCACCACCTTGAAATAACCCTGACCGACCCCAAACATTGCTGGTCCTACCATGCTGACATTAAGTTGAACCAGAAATTCACCAACTGGCAACAAGTGTGGTGTGATCTGCAATTCTGAGAAGCTGTTTCTTGAAAGTAATGGTGTATCTTCTTCACCCAGTTTATAAACACTCCAGTGGAACAATGTTTTGTCAGATAACTTACAATTAAGTTTGACTTCAGATTGTATTGTAAACTTTCTTAATCTGTGAATGCTAACATCTGAAGATGCATTTGGTGAGATATTTGGCAGGCTCACATCTGGGCTGTGGCATGGAATGTCTGATTGAAAAAGGAACATTCTCAGATCTCCATATTGCAAAGGCCTAAAACACCTATAACCTTCTTAACTTTGGGACTCTTAAAAATTTTGGAAGCTCAGGGGAAGGGGAGGGGGGTGTAAATTGGGTATTGAGACTGTAACTCTCATGTTAAGTTAACCTTAGCCTAGCTTTAATCACTGTAAGTGTGGCTCCTAAAAATTGGTGAAATGCAAAGATATTGATTTTTTACAAATGTAGAACTCATCAGAAAGGCCCTTTTGTGACCCAAACATATGCTAGTCTTTGAATATATTACACTTTACTGAGCCTGCTGCACTCAGGAAAAAGCCATGGCCAAAGCTTTCAAGGTAACCATTGCCTGCAAAAGCCTGCATGGCCTTTCAAATGAGTTTTTTTTCTACAGTTACAACTTTCATCGCAGTATTTATAAAGCTCAATGACAGTACATTAAACTCGCAAAGCAAGCAAAGCACATCAAACAACATTGACTGTTGTTTGTATCATGGTCAGCTCTCTGAACATTGCTTCCTTGTATAAGAGTTAATGGTTGTTTGCATGTCAAAGCAACTAAGCCCCACATTGGGTTCAGTTTGGGGTATAAAAACTGCAATAGTGCAACACATTTAAGTATCCATTCAAATAAAAGTTCAACTCATTGTGCTTTTAACAATCATGATTAATTCTACATTGTAGGAAGTAAATTCTGATTGGCTAGTTTTGCACTCTACTAGGACCCCAGCTGCTAGACATAACTAGATACTTCTAGACTATATGCTTCTGCCCAATTGTCAAGTGCTAATTTAACTATTGAACAACTATACTTCCTTCACTCACTTAAGAAGGTATGTAAATAGGTAAGGGTCATAAAATTATATCCTGTAGTGTAATGCTGACTTAGGCTACTTCACTTCAATTTTTTTTCAAATAATTTTTAAGGATTAAGAGATCACTAAATTTCATTTTTATAATTTAGCAATACTATGAAAAAGTACATAATTTTTATTCAATTTAGTGCTAATTAATCTAATTCACAAAGCATAGATCATATTTTCCCTTATTTACATGATATTTAAAAAGAAAAGGATTTTGAGGCATTTGTGTTTTGTCATCCCATTGACTTTCACTTCAACATGTAAAACAGGACCAGTATGAACAAGAATTGTTTGGGATGAGCTTTGACTTCAGTGTTGCATTAATTGAAGTATATAACAATTAGCTCTTGCAATGATCAGTTGCTAGACAAGTATAAAACAATGCTGAACTTGGTGTAAACATAAATTCTCACACTGTACTTACTTGATGCCGTCCTGACTTCTAATTGGTCTGTATATGGTCCATTCCTTTTTCCATCACTGTGTAAGCCAGCAACTTGAATTTTATATTCTGTGTTTGCTTCAAGTCCAGTAATTTCAACCTCAGTTTGATCAGATTTTGCTTCCATCTCATCATAATCACCACTGTTAGATTTTGCATACTTTATCCTGTATCCTGACACACTGCATCCATCACTGTCAGGAATGGGGTTCCAACTTACTCTGATTGATGTTTTGCTTAATTTAACCATTTTGAGCCCTTTGGGTGCTGTCAAGTACATGTCACAAAATGTAATTAATGAGAATTAATTGTAGACACATGCTCAAGTCACATTTTCACTTTGAACCAACAATACAAATTCATAACATAAATGCTAAGGACTAATTAGCTGAAAATTTTTCTTAATTGTGATCTCACATTGATTTATCTACATTAATGATGCATAGAAGTCATTAATTGACACAGTCATTTTGCAGGCTGCCATTCAAACCAGCTTGCAGCTGAACTGGGCCAGCCTGAGGTTAAATATAAATACTGGTGAATAAATGTATAAGGCACATCCTTTTACCTAAGTTAGAAGCCTGATCCTCTGGAGATATTCCAGACATGGTTTAAGAGAGTAATGCAGTAAATTTTTCATTGGATTATGTCTCATAGTTAGGTTATTCAACTACACGGGTGTGAATTAAAACATCCTCATGCAAATTGAATGCTATTCCTCTCAGCACACTAGACAATTATTTGTTAGTACATCACACTGCATGCTTTTACCTTCTCTAATCACCATAACTTTCCTAATGAGCACAATGAAAACTGCTGTGATCAACAACTTTTCCATCTTTTGAAATCTGTGAAACCTACTTGGTTCTCTCATCCATATGAACTTGTGTCAAAAACTGGAATGTAAATAAAGAACTATCTGAATTAGTAGTTTTAAAACTCTCAGGGCTTGGTTGATCTTCCCAATTTAGAGTGAGCCAGTGCAGTACTTTAGCAAGCCTCCTCTGTTCAATAAATGGATTTAATATTTCTGTGTCTGATCAGTACTAGATATCACAGATAATGTAAAAAAGTTGTAAGAACAAAAAAACTCAAAAGAGGTGAGCTTAATGTATCACTGATGTTTTGACCACACATTTACATCTGACCTGTCATCCGATTGTTTGTAAATAAGAACATATCAAACTGTGTGTTTAATTCAGCTTATTACCTAAAAAACAACCAATGGGTGTTAGAAAAACGTATTTCTGGAAACTCTTGATTCAAATCGTTTTAAAAGGCTTATTCCAACGGTTTAACCGGGAAATTTCCATAGCCCACAAGAAAAAAAATTTACAACATTAAAACGCAATAGCTCGAAACACTTTATTACTCTCCAAGCACTTAGACCACCTGGAAAAAAGTTTAACTGGTCAGCAAACAGCGGTTAGAAACAAGGTCTGAACTTTTCACTGCTCTTCTGCTGAGCTATAATTTGGGGTCACCTGGGGTAAGTTGGAGGGCAAAAATTGCACTTTTTAACGCACTTCTCGTGATTCTACGTCGTAAATTAACATGTTCCGGTAACATTTAAATGAAAGTCCTCCTTTTTTGTGTCCTGAGTTGAATGTGCAATCACATTCTTGAGCCCTTTTTAATAAAAGACCACTCTTTAGTTAAATCCCCCCATCATTTCTACCATTCAGCTCTACAGGTGATTCGTGAATGAACTTCGACAAGCTTGTACTAAACGAGTCTAACAAATTTTCAGACAATCATTCTGAATTTTAAGTACTTAAACGGATTGTCATGATATGAGACAACTGAACTTTCTCCTACCTACCGCACGATGATTTGCCGGAAGATGTCGTCAAAACGGTTTCGTCAGACGTCGTCTTCGTCACGTCACACGCGAGAATAATATGGCGGGAAAATGCCCTTACTCGTCCCCAGGGCCCTTCATGTGCAATAGCCTACCAGAACTTGACGCCCGTACGACACAGGCATGATTGCAAACCCGATCGGAACTCTCGAGGTAGGTCTTTGAGAGTTTTAGATAGATAATTAAATAGGAATAAATAAGTTGCAGCCAAAGGCTGAATTGAATAATTATTTACAATATAAATATGGTACAATTAAAACTAGGGCTATTTACAAAGGATCTCTATATAACTAAAGTGCTCTGTTAAGATTACAGGCTACGAACACTGCAGTTTACGAACATTGCTATTTACTCGTTGGCACATGGCCGGGATGAATGAGATTTTTAAATGGTTAGTGTGAAACCGTGTCAGATTGAAATTTCTTTTGCTTCTCAAGCTATGTGAGCCTTGATGATGACTTGGGGGAAGTAGGTGGGCGAGACTGTGATCGTTCGAATTGGTGAGCTTTTCAGACTTAGAAAATTTTGGGCCTCAGATCATCATTGTTGTATGCAAGCAAGGCTTTCTATTCTCAAGGTTCGCCCCCACCTTAATTAGTTTCAACCCCAAATATTAAATCTCGTTTCCTTTTCTGACGAGACCATTACTTATTTTGATCAATTGCAAATTTACTGCGAAACATCATCGGCCATTTATCCCTGCACGGGTGATACAAGCTGCTATTATGGATTTTACGCCGCTCCTTTGGCGACTGGTTTGACCTCACATTGTATCACATTCTTATGTTCAGAGAAAATGTAAAGGATTACAGTTGAACCTGTAAATTAAGCGACACAGTACTTGGCAAATTAAATTTGCGCATTAACAATTTCAAAGCTGTCAAATTTCGTCAACAGCATGATTTCTTCATAAGACAAGAAATGACAAGGACATCCTAAAGCTTCTAGTAAGCCCGGAAAGCCTGTGCCTTGGAAATCCATTCCGGGAAGCAGGTCGAGAGTACATTTTTTAAGGCAAGTGACAACGCCCCTCGTTGAGCATATCACATCTCAAATACACCAGATATCAGACGAGTCTCTGGTTAAGTCGGCACAGAACGCAGTCAAATGGGAAAGATTAGAAGAACTCAAAGAAAGGGCAGAAAGGATTAGGGTGAGGGCACCACCAAAGACCAAGCGAACGCTAGACCTAACAGCTGAAGAAGTCTCATCAGTGTGACTGATAATGCTTCCTTTCCAAGAAATGGCCTTTAACTTGAACGGGAGTTCCATAATGCTTTTAAACTACGCTATGACTGACCATTTGATGATATTCCCTCCACGTATGTACGCGGGGGAATCTTTTCGCCCGACCACACCATGATTTGCAAACGAGGCGGATTTGCCCGTCATACAATGACATGATAAGCTGAGAGACCTGGAAGGCGAACTCCTGAGTACGGTACTCAGTGATGTTGAAGTCGAACCCGTCCTCCAAGACATCAGTGTAGAGCAGCTGAGCAGAGGAGCTAACAAAGCACAAGACGCAAGGTTGGACATTCACGCACGTGGCTTCTGGGAACACTAACGACCAGCATTCTTTGATTTCAGGGTCTGCCATCCAAATGCTGAATCCTGCAAGGGCCTACAGTCAGCGTCAAAATTGGTTGACATTTCATGCTTGAAGAGTTCTATTTGTGGGTAGAATAACACTCCATGTTTCTACCACACTCTAAATCGTTAACAAGACCCCCCTCCCCATTTAATGTTTGCATAAAGTTCATGGAATCACGATACAACATTGCGTTTAGGTGGGAGGGGGGCGAATAGGTTTACTTAACAAGGACAAAGAGATCAAATTGAAGTAATAGGGGATTGAAAAGATTAATGTGTCAACAATTTTGTCGCTGCTTGTAGAGCCACAACAGATCTACAGAATGCATGAAAATGAGGAGAAGCGCCAGTACTCAAGGAGCGTTGCCAACATTGATACGGAACATTCACGCCCCTAATATTTACCACAACTGGGGGGATATGCCAAGAATGCTTGAGATATCACAGTCGCCTCGCGCACCTAATAGCTTTAAAGAAGGGATCCACCCTCATCTGTTTGAGGGGCTCAAGAATAACGAGGAAAGTCCTTTGCGATGCAAATGTTGACGAATGTTTTGACCACCAGACACAGAGGAAGAAGTTAGATTGTGAAATTTTAGATTTTATCACCTCTTTGACGATTTTTTAGGCGTACCATGGATCTAATTTCTAGCTACAGATAAAGATAATTATTAAATCATAGTTGTAGTATCACAATTGTTATTATATACACGTATGTGTATCATTATCAAGTTGTTGTTGTGGTCGCAACATTTATTTGATAGTTTGATTTTAGTAAAATTCGACAAAATCGTTGGATTTTAATAAAATTTGACATAATTAATCTGATAAGAAAAGAAAATGTATACATATAAATCTAATACATATTTTCAAATTGCAACGTTTTTGAAAACGGGTGTATTTATAATGGTAATTGAACTGAGTGGAGTGCAATTTGGGCTGAAATCATACGCGTGATTTCAAAATCACAAGTGTGATTTCAGGCCAAAACTGCACGACACGAAGTTCAATTACCACTTTATTACATCCATTTTGAAATTGCCCAAATGCAGGACTTGGTCAGTTCAAATGTTTTATTGATGCAGTACTGAGCCGGTCGGAAATTAAATTAATCCGATTTTTGGGGGGAAAAAATAAGAGTTTTGGAAATAAAAGTAGCAAAATTTGCTACATGATACTCTTTGTCTTTCATTTTCCTGCAATTGATTGGTTATTTTAAAAAATCCTTGAAATCTAATTGGTTGTTTTGTTTTTAGTGTAACCTCCTCGTTGGCTGGGAAAAAGATGCGATTTAAAGCAAAAAATGGTGCGATTCGTGAATAAATCGCACCAATTAGAGCCAACCAGATTACAAGGACCACCAGTGATTTCAAAATGGGTGTAATAAATATATATATATATATATATTTTTTTTTTTTTTTTTTTTTTAAATTTTTTTTTTTAAAAATCTAGATTATGTTATGTACTTAATTTTTCACCATTTGGTTTTTTTATTTGTAATAATAACGACAATGATACTCAAAACACACGTGTCTCATTGAGAATAAAACGTTATGTATAAATATGGATAATGGTTTAATGTATGCACTCTTAGGAGAAAGGAAGGCAAAATAGAATTACACGCGATAATTATAATTTCTAAATGTAATAAATACCTGTTAAGTTCCCGACTGACTGGCACAAAAGAAAAAGAAACTCCGAGGAAATAAGTCATCGACTAATAGTGCTAATAGCGATCCGTGTCTATCACAGAGATCTATACAAATTTTCATGGAGCATTGCAGACGATTTAAAACGGGGCGCACCACACTCTCACCAACGCCGACAAGAGAATATTAAAGTTAATTTGTCACCTCTTATTGGCACTGAATGTAATCAGAGAACATGTTGTTGCAGAAGGACCAATTACGGGGATAGGGGGTTTATTCTCCAAAGCCTCATGTCGCTATTTATTGTTTTACGCTGCTTTCTAAACATCACAGCATCATTAACTTAGGCCTTCCATGCTGGATCGTCACGCTGGCTCATGAATCTACAAATATTTGAATAATGAGACTGAACAAGGTACGAAATATTCTAAATAGTTGAACAAATGTAAACGTGTTGTCACTGACGTTTGGTTTGGTTCGCATGGACCTCCGAAGAAAATGATACGTTTTTAAGCCTCGTACAAAGTTTTAAATTCACTCAGTATATAATTGCAAATTATGTTCTACAACATCAGTGTCTTCGCCTTAATAATGTTTATTATTTCGGCGACATCGACGCAACTCCGGCAAGAAGGTGGTGGTAGCGAGGCAAGTGATGAAGGTGGCGCTGGAAGCCGTTCGGAATCTGCAGTTTGGTGCTTAGAAGCAGGGAACTGTACATGTCTTTTTGAAAAGTCTCATGTGACAGTGATTTGTACCTCAGCAGGCGATAGACTTGATGATATTACATCCAAACTTCCAAAAACGACAACGCACCTGTAAGTAATGAAGACTTTGAATTATTTCTTGTATTTTTCATCTGCATATTTCAGGCCTCGTAAATTATTTGGAATTAAAAAAATATAACTAGCAATAATCAAAGATTAGTAGATTGCGTTCGATCTCTTGTAAAATATTTTCTTATTTTACTTATTGCGCTGAAAATAATCGGTGTCTTCAGCTCAAGGTAGCCAAGAAAACATTTGCACATGAGATCGAGGCTATCTGTGCCACATAGCTAGCCAGCCAGTCGAAAATGGCGCCCAATGCCTGAAATCGCATGGCATCACGATCGATCCTCTTAGGACTGGTCCATGAAACCCTCGAGAGTGATTTCCGTAAAAACGACACGATTAGTGTGCGTTCTCCTTCGTCCAACGCAGCAATGGAAATAAAAGCATGTAGGTGTGTAGGGCGTGCAGTTTGCCTACTCGCTGAGGAATCTCTGCCAAGACATCCTTTCCATTTTCTGATTTATATATCCTTGGTGTTCTCATTTCAACAGAATCCTGAGGAATAATGAAATATCCAGCCTGTTACCTCTGATAGCTCTCAAGGGCAATAAAGACCTTCAAGTGCTGTAAGTAAGGCCACTAATCGCTTTAGAATTTACCACAAGACCCGGCAGCAAGTTTTCAAGCTGGGAAACACCAGCTTGTAAGGTAATCCGTGTGCTAACTTGGGGTGGAGGGGGGTACGAACCTCTAGACATTTTCAGTGCTGTAAAGCAAAATATAAGTTGATAGACATTTGTTATACAATTGCTAAATTAACTTTACTACAATTAAATTTCCTCCATTATCGTACTCCTCATAACAACCTTTAGGCTGTAGGGATTTTAACTTTTCTCCACTTTCAGTTATACATAGTCCAAGCGGTACATAGTCCAAGCGGTACGTCGAGTTGCATACAAAATAAAAAAAACGATATTACCCACTGAAAAATAAAACCGGTTTAGTTTCTGTCTGAGTAAGCAAAACTGGCCTCAATATACAATTGTCCACAACATGGTTTAAAGCCTCCTTGAGGTTACAAGTTGGTTCGTACCAACGTTCATTTCTTACCCAGTCGTTTCGCACTCATACTAATAAAGTGTGTTTTCTTTGTTACGTATTTTTAAGGTAAAGTCAGTTTCTATTTTTAATAGCAACATTTCGTGCGTTAACTAATTTTTGTTAACGTGGCGTCCACTTTTGATACGCGACCACTAACGGGAGAAAAATCCTACTTACACTATTTGTCATTCTTAAGAAAGTCACAAGTATTAACAATAGACCATTCTATTAAAGATTTCACAATTAGCTTTCCCCAGGCAACAATTTGTTTGTTTTTGTTAAGAGGGTAATGAGTATACACAACAGAAATTTGTTTTACCTTGCTCGCCTGACTCTACTAACTTGTCGTGTGCAACAATCGACATCTGTTCACGCGCTCACACGTGAATTACTTCGAATGAATGTCTATTGGGACGGGTACGAATCGACCAGCGGTTTTGGTATGAACCGACTCAAACGGATACGAATCAATTGAATTTGGGTACGAAACTATTGGGTACGAAATGACCGTGGAAACAAAACGACTGGATACCATTCCTAAGGTAGTAGAAAAGAAGAGAGCTAGCAAAAAGCAGATCGAAATGTTCAGAAAAGTATTTAGACACGGACTTTATTAGAGGTGTGTGGTACTGTTCGACTGTATTAAAAACAATGAGAAAAAAAAAACCCTATTACCAGTTAAGTTGGGGTCTCATAGCAAACGAATTCGAATGTTCTTTCTAAATAGAAAATCAGTTCTTCCTTGTTGCCTACTGTAGACAAATTTACTCGACGCAGACTCTTGTGCTCAACTCCGATCATTCCATGTTGTATCTATTCATCCTCGAAAATAAAGGTCCCGCTCTCTTTTTGAGTATATAAGTGGTGGAGACTCTTAATGCTTCATTTTCATATTTCTTTCATTAAGATGAAACTGATATGTTAGATAATGTATTCCGGTGGGGTATTGTGCCTGGTTAATTAACCACAACTACTGATACCTTTCATATTCATTTTCTCAACTCAAGTCTATGACTTCACGACACTAAAACAATGCCTTTTCTCAATTTAGGGATCTTCGAGACAATCTTATCACTACACCAGGCAGTATTCAGTTGGAACTTGTCCTTGGGCGGCTATCGAGAGTGTAAGTTTGATTTAATTACATGCTTTGTCAGGAGGTTATTCAGGTAATTCCCGTGATAAGGGCGTACTTTCCAGATTTGTTTCAAACTTGACGAAGTTGATGGCCCCTTTGGGTCACTGGAAAATATAGAATCTAAGTCACTCATTGAGATGAATGAGGACGACAAACCCTTGACTGTTTCAGCTCGTTTTAATGAATGCATGTCGGCTCGTTGCCCTATTTCTGCGTTATTATGATTAAAGAAGAGGAAAATTTCAAGAAATTTTAAGTAATGAATTATTCAATTAATATTATCATCTTGACATGCTTGAATGACGTATTAATTGTAGGAAGTTATTTGTTAGGAGCCCATAGAAAGTAATGTGTTGTAAGTGATGTATAGTGCTGTAAATAAAGCTAAATTTATTTTAGAAAATTACATATCCATGCATGCTTTTGTAGTAAATAAAATACAGAAAAAGGGACATTTTGGTGGTTCAAAGAGAAACGGCCTTTCATTTACATGATATAAGAGACCCATTGTATACAAATACCAAGAGGGGAGGATTTTGGTTGTTTCACGATAACATTTTCGTCATCCCCCTATATGGCGCAGTAATATTCTTACAATCTCCCCTCCTGGGATGACAGTCAATCGGCAGTCAGTTTTATATGTTCCCTCTTTTATACTCTGTTGGCAACGAATGATACCCCCTCCGTTCCCCTGAAAGCTATGTGATCCCCCCCCCCCTTCCCCTTTAAAAAAATCCTATGAATAATGACTGGTCCCTTTGTTGAGAATAATACTCTCTTCACAGATTATTGGACAATAACCCTCTAGAGTGTGACTGTGGCATAACTCCTTCCCTTTGGAAAGCTGAGGTGACTGGTACTTGTGCACATCCCGCTCATCTAAGAGGAGTTGAAGTCAGCACACTTCACGCTGAAGATTTCAAATGCAGTAAGTGGAATTTTCATAATAACAAATTCTACAATTGACGTAATTGATGAAAGATGTAAAATGAAAATTAAATGATAAGAGCTCCCACCTGAAATGTTGTTCACCCTGCGATGTGTCCCACTTGTGGTTGAAATTATTTTACGCCATTATTTGCGAATTTCATTAGAGGCGAAAAAATACCACAAATGCGTCGATAAATTTTTCGTCAACTTTTTTGAGTTTTTCAGACCGAGATGCAATTTAGATATTCAATTTTCAGAGCTTCATTCATAATATTCACAGATTTTGTTCGTCTCACGAAAACAATTATTAAGCACGAACACGTAGTGTGGACTGCCTGTGGTTTGACCAGTCCTACGGTTGACTACTAGATGGGAAGAACTAGTGAAATAGTCATCCTGAGCGGATTTATGGTTAGTTGTCACTTAGCTTCTCTTCTTTTAAATAGTCTCACTAATTTAATTTTATTTTGATCTCAGCTGAAAGTTGCGCAAGACTTTTCACTCTTGGAAGACGCTTAACAGGTTTTTACAATATACAAAAATCTGATATTGCTCCACTGCCCACAAACCAGAGCTACATTCGGGTATGGTGTGAAATGGACGGACCCAATGGTGGATGGATCCTGCTTCAAGACCGTGCCAATGCCACCTTTAACTTTTATAGAAATTGGGTTTCTTACGAAAACGGTTTTGGCAAACCTGGCATTGGGTACTGGCTTGGAAATATATACATGCATTCTATAACGTTAAAAAGAAAACATTTATTAAGAATTGAACTCCCGGGCTATTATGATGAGCTTCAGTCTGAGTTTGACAATTTTCACGTGTTTGGTCCCTCCACTGGCTATGTTCTTCAAGTCGGAAATTATCGAGGAGGTTTAGGCAACATCCTCAATTACGCCAACAACTCTGCGTTTTCCACTTGGGATCGCGATAATGACAAAGCAGAAGGGTCATGTGCAAAACTAAATTTGGGAGCTTGGTGGTATAGAAAAGATTGCTATTATTTTGACATAAACAGCATGCTGGACTACTTTAGGATCAAAATGATAGCTAAGGAAGTTTTTGAAGGTAATGGTCTTTAATTTACAGCTTTGAAAAGAAATTCCTTTTCATGAAACCGTAAAGGTTAAAGACAATACCGAAAGAGCTTCGTACCTTTGCAAGCACTAATTTATCGAAAATAACGGCGGATATGGTTCTTTAACTCAAAGAAAACGAGAACCTATAAAATTTTGGACACGTCTCCTTCTTTTATCAGCTTAGCTATAACAGCTTGACTTAATGTTAGCTTGTTCGTCTTTGGTCGTAAGTCGCGGTATTTCTCCTATAAAGAAATATTTGAATTTTCGCCTTTTTTTCATTTGGAATTTGAAAATGAATTTCAAATTTGTTTTGTTTTCGTTCTTGGCATTGAAGTTGACAATCGTTATTTTTTCGGAAATGCTAAAAAGCAGCCGTCTAAGAAGCTCTTGGTAAAGACTTATCACGCTGGTTTCGTACCGAACACGAACAATCTTACGAATCAGTGAAAAATATCGAACAGCCATTACACGAATTGTTCACACACGGAATACCAAAAGCATATACGAATCTGCATTCCTTAGTTGAAATCTGTTATCGTTACTGGCTGTTACTTCAGGGTGTACGTGTGTCAGTCCAATGCCATATCCTAAAAACGAAAAACCAATTTGAAATCCGTTTTCCAATTTGTTTAAGGAAACCGTTTTCAATTACAATTTACGCGCCATTAAAGTAAATTGAAACTAACGGAAATGACAACTGAGATTGATTTTGTTGACATCTCTCTCTTAAGAAGAAGTATTGCCGTCATGATAAGGACCAACTTTGCAAATAACCACACAATTTCGCGGGAAATTTGCGTTCTGTTCTTGGGTTAATTGTACTCTACTTTGTGCAGCTGAGACAACAACTAACCACCCACTACCGGCACTAAGAAAAGAAAAACACATTGGTAATAGAATGTTTACTTCAACTTAACAAATGACATCCTATCTCCGCATGTCCTAGATAGCTGTGCGTCAGAAAAAGTCCTTGGTAGAATTGAATGTGGATGGCCAACTATCACAAAGCAGCAGTGCTTGGCACGTCAATGTTGCTATGACAACAATATACGTGACCACAACGCATTTGATGGCAGGGTAAAGTGCTTTGTTAAGCCTCATCTAGGTGGGTAATTGAAGTCGACGACACATTTCATCTAATGCAGCAATGGAAACACTTTGTGCTGTGGTTTTTTTTCGAATATTTTCACATGCCAGTTCTTCAGAAACGCCTTTAGGTGAAATGTTGTAAGTTAGCTACACTGTTTGCTGTTTACTCGACTATATGATCGTGTTAGTTGAGATTAGCAATATTTTGACGAGCAAGAAGATCAAAGAAACTTTACAAACCACTATTCATAGAACCAGAATTACCGGTAATAGAATATACCCTGGTTGGAAGAGTAAAGGAATGTGGTTGCTATTTTTTGTAAAACGACATTCTAATACAGAATATCGCTTTACGCTGTGTGGTTCTCCTCATTATTAATTAAGAGCCATTCAATTGGTGATTCTTGGTAAATGAATGGGGCTGGAGTATATGTGTATATTTGAAGATGTTTTGATATCCTTTCTCTCCTATAAGTGTTTTATGAACGAATCGGCTGCTTCTTTGTTGAAAGTAAACGGCTATTGGAGCAGCAAGACCCTCCGTTAGAAATTGCCAAAGCATGTAGCTTTGAAGCGTCTTCACGTGGTTTGAAATATTTTGCTGTGCGTAAAGGCATCGAATGTCTTGGTGACAAGAATTTGCCCTCTGTGTTACCTCAATTGAAAGCTTTGAATGGGTGTCTTGGAGGCCGAGGAGGACAAAACGTGTCTGATGTTTATCGCCTTACAAGTAAGGCTGCCTTTGTCATTTGAATGATTTCTTTTTCTATTGTAATCAACTATCCGTTCTGACGTTTTTTACGAAATCAACTATCTTGCTCAACCAGCTATAAAGTAAATCATCCGTCCCGTCCATCCATCATCCATCCACCCCCCTACCACTGAACTTTTTGTTTGGCATGCTCAATATCTTTTACATTCCCATTCTTTTGTTTTTTGCTTTAAAGTGACATTGAAAAGATATATGTGAAACATTGAGAAGGGATCATTGCTCTACAGATAACAAGAGACTATAGCTTTATATCCAACAACATTAAATTTTGCCCAACCGTATTGACAGAGATATTTCTTCTACGATGCCAAAAGGCTATCTATAAAGTAGAAAGAGTATTCGATTATTACAGCAGCTTGCTTTTTGCTTGCTTCAGTATTTGTTTCCAGGCCAACTGGACTCAAAACAAATAACGTTACACTTACAAGTATCCGCGTGGAGTGGAATCCAGTGCCAGAACGCTTTATCCTCGGCTATAGAATTTTCGTGCCAAACATCTCTTTCAATGAAACTCTTCCTTGGAACAAGACCTCTGTGAATGTAGCAGGTCTCCGTAGCAATACTAAGTACATCATAAAGGTATTACCAGTTCATGGCTTAACAGATGAGGAGCATCCTACAGGAAATGCCGCAAGCATCGTCGTAAGCACCGAGCGAGAACCAGGTAAAACATTTCTAAGGGTTTCCAATTCCCCCAATTGGCCAAAATGTTCACGTAAAGCAAAGGTTACTGATATAACTACTCTATCGTTTGACCATGCCTAAAGTTTTTAATATTCCTTGAAGTTATTGATATATTTTTAGAGAAGGAGGTGAATAGTTTTAAATAACGTGACTCCCCAAGGACTTTGTGTTTTTGCGCTAGCACAAGATATTTTTTCATCGCTGAAGCCTTTTTGTCTCTGCAAATTTTGAAATTTTCATAAAGTTATAAGAACTATGACTGAACCGTGAGAAGACATTTTCTGCCTAGTCCTTTCTCTAATCTTTAAGGTTGTCATGAGGCCACCAAGCTCCAAAAACGACCTCTTAACATCCTTGATTAATGATGGTAATAGGACGGAGTGGAGTCTTATTCAGTTTGTATTCATACGAGTGATTAACAAAATCGGACCACCGCGAAGTGAATGTCTCATTTGTCAATCACGAGTATGATTACAGACCGAATTGGACGAAACGAAGTCCTGTGACTAATTAATCAAAACTACGACAAAATTTGAGAAGGAACTAGACATCGGTTATACATTTTCATAAAAAAACGCAATGGTTAACTTGGCGAAATGCGAGGCAACAGCGCGCGCACATGACGCGTTCTGTTCACTTACACAGGTATGATGTATTAACTGCCCATTTAACTGTCCTATTCCACCGTCCAATTACAAGCATGATGCGTTAACCGTCCCATAAGTGCTCAAATCGGGCTGGTGATAAGCAATGCAATCACGATCGAGAAGTTTTTTATAGTTTTCATCAAAGGATGTGTAAGGTTTCTCTTCACTAATAAAAAAAAGGCGTGTTTAAGAGTTATGAGTATATTTGTAAGAGAGGTGAGTATCGCCATGAACGAGAAAGTTTTACTGAATCTACTACTCTCATTTCAGTTCCACTTCGAGCTCCTGACTTCGTCTTTGCAGAAAGCTTAAACTCTACAAGTCTGGTTGTAAAATGGAGTCACCTGCTTAAGGAACATTTTCGAGGACGACCAATTGGTTACCATATCACTTTTTTCCCAGCTAATTTAGAGAGTGATTTCAGTTCTGTTAAAGTGAACCTCACGTCGAATAGCACCGTACTTTCAAACCTGTCTGCTTACACTATGTACGTTATCAATGTATCTGCAGTGAGTCCTGGAGGACTTGGACCTGCAAACACGGCAAAGGCCCGAACAAACGCGGCAGGTAGCTTTTTAAAATCGAATCTATAGAATTTCCTCAGTATAGCTCAAATAATTTGTCTGGCAAATGCAATAACCAAAGAAGAACCCCTTCCGTACCGAAAAAGAAAATAATGAGGCTGAGGGAAACCTATAATTTTATTGACACTTTATGTCTCCAGTTGCCGCCTTTAAAGAGTTTTGCTCTCCTTTACTACTGTTATTAGTATTCCCAGAAAAGTATACTGGAATAGAGACACTCACCACCCTGTCTGTAAATTTTGGCTGCGATAAAACTTGAGAGGCTGACTGCCTTTGTCTTTCAGCTCCACTGCAAGGTCCAGAAGTAGTAGTCGCTCGTAATTCAAGTTCCACGAGTATAGTGGTGAGATGGAGTCATCTACCAGAGAATATTTTTCGCGGACAGCCCATTGGTTGCAGTATCGCGTATCATCCAGTTAATTTAGAAAGTAACTTTAGCGTTTTGAGTGTAAACTACCCGACAAATACAACAACACTGACCAACCTCACTGTGTATACCACGTACGTCATTAATGTGTCAGCGGTAAGCTCTGGAGGAATAGGGCCTGCCAGCACAGCAAAGGCTCGAACAGATGCAGAAGGTGAGATCTCTTTAAAATACCCAAAGCTGTTAAAACAGCATTAAAAACCGATAAAATTTTCACTTGGATGGTAGAAATAGACTACTTTCTTGATCAAAATACAAACTCACGAAGGCACGTACTTCTTAGTTATCAGTCTGGGAATTTACTATGTACATGTACTGTTACTGTGAACTGTTGCTAACTTCCAAGTGGCTAAATGAGTGCTTTACAAGTTCGTTGAGAAACATGAGTTGGGGCTTTGTTGGGTTGCGTCGTCATTCTAGGTTAGAGCGAAGGTGCAGTGTTTGAGTTAGCAAAATGTGCAAAAGTTGACTCAAGTCCTGAACTCGGTACTTTACAGATTCAGGAGCCCATTACTTATGGGCTCCTGATAAATCATAATTTAACTAGAGATTTTTCTACGAGATAACCTAGCTTCATGCGTCCATTTGAGTGCATTTTCGTCACCTAACTAGATTTATCCTCGAAGATCTTTGGCGTTATGTGAAAACAACTCAGAAACAAACATTTCTGGTTAATAGGTGTCCCAATAATCCCTGTAATTAAGGGTGTCTAGGTTAAATCGTTTCACGAAGGTAGTGATAATCTTTCCAATCTTTTAATTTTTCTTTTAGCTCCATCCCGAAGTCCTGACGTAGTAAGCGCTCACAAATCAGGTTCTAAAAGTTTTCGAATAAAATGGGCTCACGTGCCAGAAACACATTTTCGAGGACAACCAATGGGTTACATTATCAGCTATTGCCCACTTTATTCAGAGAATGATGTCAATCAAGTGAGGGTGATCTACCCGACGAATACCACGGCACTGACCAACCTGACTGTTTACACCATGTATGTCATTAATGTGTCAGCTTTAAGCTCTGGCGGAATAGGACCTGCAAACACAGTAAAGGCCCGAACAGGCGCAAAAGGTACATGACAGTTTCTTTCTTTCTTCAAAATGGCTTCATCAACTAAAAAGGCCTTTACCGTGAACCTAGGGAAAAAAGACCGAGTCTGTCTTTTTCGTTACTAACAATAAACGAGTAGGGAGCAAAGCTGAACCACCATCCAGAGTTAGGCCGATCTGGAAAACAAAATTGGAAAAGATGGGTATCCTTTGGTCACCTTTGTATCATTTTGGCCTGTTGCGACAAAAAAGGGAGAATTGGAGAACATTTTTGATACTTGTGTCCCAAACCTTTTGTTCATAGGCAAATAATCGAAGAATATTTTTCACGGGGAAGTTAAGAATACTACACTTAACGGGAGTGGCACTTTTAAGTTTGGGTCATATGTATCAAAAGTAGTCGTAATGTTCTCTGCATCTTAAATCCACTCACGAGGCTATAGCGACTTTTGTATAGGCGATCACCTCTGCAATCTTCAGTTACTCATTTCTTTCAGCTCCTCTACGAGCTCCAGATCTGGTAACCGCCTTCAACTCTAGTTCTACGAGCCTAGTGGTCAAATGGAGTCATTTGCTAGACGGAGATTTTCAAGGAAAACCAATCGGTTACAATATCACTTACTATGCAGCTGAAACCGAGGGTGATAACAATGTTGTGAATGTGAACTACACGACAAATATCACAGCCTTGTCCAACTTGACTGTTTATACCATGTATGTGATAAATGTGTCAGCGGTGAGCTCTGGAGGAACAGGACCTGCAAACTCTGTGAAAGCCCGAACAGGCGCAAAAGGTACACATGTCTTGAAATTGCTTCATCTGTATAATAGTCCTCCTGTAAGCAAGAAAGACGGAGCAAGACAGACAAGAGTTTCCTAATTATCCTAATATGCCAAAGCATGCATGCATCCTCGTTTTTTTACGGGAATACAGGACTTTCAAATGTTTTGAAACTTTTTTGACAGTCAAAGGGTTAGGAGTGAGCTTTGTAAAATAATTATGGTCGTGATTATGGGCTGAAAACATTGCCGTCCCTCGAAATATTGACGAAGATGATCACTAGATATGTTAAATCAACCAACCCAAGTCGCTCGTTGATTTAGGAAAATGTCGGTTCTAAAATTTTTCAGCCGAAAATTTATATGAAATATAATTCCAGTGACGGAGCATCGGCTAGTTCGTCTTATTATGGTTGTTTTCACCACTTGTCAACCTCCCCTCACTAAATTTTTACACAAATTGTGGATTTCGGTGCATGGAAGCAGAGTTTTTGCATGATAAGGAATCACATTACCCCCTGTAACTGGCATCGGTGTTTAGATTTGAATTTCTCAAGAGACCTCTAGGGGAATAGGACCTGCAAATGCAATTAAGGCCCGAACAGGCGCAGAAGGTAAGATGGTTTATAAATAAGAACTTTCCAGAAAGAGAACAAAGAGAAAAGATGCAAGAATTAAACGCTTGGATTACATCCGCGTCATACCAGAGATGATAGTTATATGTATGATTGCATCTCCCGTTGTGCTGACAGGCACTTAAACCTTTGAAGGAAATTACTCTGAGCCAACATTTTTGTAACCTAACCCAAAACTCCTCGTAGAGCTCGTAACTTGGACAACAGTTTAACAATCAAGGGGTAACCCTGAGATTCTTGGTCGGTGCTTTGTGTTGTTTCAACTATTAATTTGGCAGAACACATGACTCTGCAATTTTAAAAAGATCTCAGATAACCCGTTTCAGAAAGAAAAAAAATGTATCCAATAGATTGCTAATCAGTATCTTTAAGGGAAAAAAATTTGGTAGCAGTAGTGTTACTTCTATTTTCCAGTTCCCTTTGTTGCACCTAGTCAAGTTATGGTGACCGCGCAGAGTTCCACAAGTTTGTATGTTTCCTGGACCGCTGTTCCTGAAGAACATCGCCACGGAAAGATCCACATGCACAAGATTTATATCAGCCTGGCTACTCAGCCAAGCAAATATATCAATTCATATTTTGCGTTCAATCCAGTCGAGTACAACATTAGTGACCTTCGTGTTTACACCTTGTACGTCATTCGTCTTTCGGCGGTGAATGAGGCAGGGGAGGGACCGAAAAGTAGAGCTGTTACAGCAAGAACTCTGGAGGGCGGTGAGTTTATTGATATCGTTCGGAAAGAAAGAAATTTTCGTAGATCTATTAGTTATTTGGTAATACCCATGTGCATTGTTTCCATTTCTGTAGTACCCAGTGCTCCCCCGATGAATTTAAGTTTGGTTCATAGCGACTCTTGGTCCATCGTTGTGGAATGGAAACCAGTCCCTGTGGGATATGAGAATGGTATAATTAAAGGATACAGGCTGGTTTACAGGGTGAATGATTCCGAAAACACTGTGTCCATGACTGATGACTCAATGTATTCTGAGAATATTGCTGTTCTTCATGGGTTGGAATTTGACACATTATACTCAATCCGAGTGGCTGCTTTCACAAATGCTGGTTCTGGAAATTTCTCGGAGCCAATCGAAGTCAGAACAAAAATGTGTAAGTAAAACTCCATCACTTCCTTTGGCAAGACCAACACATGATCTTAAATTTCAAAAGTGTGGCTGTTTTTCTGTCAACTCATATAGCATGCTGAGTGGTGATAAAAAGCGGAAGGGTTGGGTGGCTTGCTCGTAGGACAGACGAAGCTAACTCCCCTCTGTTTATTTATTCATTGATTGACTTTTTTATTTTATCCTGTATATTCATCCTTTTGTTTTATCCTGTATATTCATCGTTTTGTTTTATCCAGCATCCTTATCTTCAACATTCTTTGATTTTGTAGTTGACCCATGTGACGAATTTTTTTGCTTGAATGGAGGGACATGTATACTGACGCCTGAATCCTACTTGAATGCAAGCAAACCTTGCCTATGCCACCAAAAGTTTTTCGGAAGATTGTGTGATACTTATGTTGCTGGTGAGAACGAAGAAACAACTTTCCAATTTTAAACTTGGCATTGTCGAGAGTATTGTCGCAAGAATCCTTAGATTTTTCAATCTTTGTTCCTCAGTGCCTTCATGTCGAAGTCCGACCGTAGAGCTGCCTAGCCTGTCATCAAATGTAACCTCGCCACTGACTGTACGTCGAGCCAATCAGTTTGTAATTTCTTCAAAAGTCAGTCTTGATTGTGAGCTTTTGTATGAGACAATATTTAACTGGGAAGTGTACGATCTGCATTCACAATCCCGTGAACATCCCTTTCTTTCAAGATACGGTGGTACCTCAGAGTTTCTCATAAAACGAGGCAAGCTACCGGTGGGTATATACTTGGTGCGACTGACTGTTAAAATGGCGGGAACGCAAGTATTTGGCCTCAGCGAGGGCTACATCCGGGTCATTGAAAATCCATTAGTTGCGCATATCTCCGGAGGAACGAAGGTAGAAAGAGGATTCAATAAAACCTTGGTGTTCAATGCTTCCTTGTCACGTGACCCTGATTCCTTCAATCCTCCTTACGGTGAGATGACTACTTTGCTCTGATCACGAAGTAAGACTGTATATATTTGCTTTCCTTAATTGACTGTGGTGGCCATCTTTTCCATTCTAAAATTCACGCTGATAGTTGACTGTACCTTCTTAGCTGAGAGCAAAGATGCTTCAATAGAAGATTCGAAATCCGCCACCAGGCGCACCTATCCTCGCCTCTTTTTGTTAACTTTCCTCTCAGTTTCATTTCCTTTTTTCTTTTTTACTGTCCCTGATGTTAACGTTTCTAGTCTGATCTTATCCTTTCTCGTAAAATGGAATTAAAGAAGAAAATAGGTGAAATGGCCGTTCGGCAAGAGTATCATAGGGCTGGGAGGGGGGGGGGGGGGGAATCTCTGGCAACAGACACCATGTAAATGGGACCTTGACCTAAACCAGTCTGCGCTGCCTTCTTTTTTTAGGTCTTCATTTTACCTGGATATGCAGAAATTCTTCACAGAAGTTTTCTGACGATCTACTTGAAATACCCGTGGCCCTGCCAAGACCTTCAGCAGCCAATCTCGACCGTGGAGGATGTTTCGGGACTGGAGCAGGAAATATAGGCGGCAACCATTCCATTTTTAAGATCGACAGTGGCTATATGACAGAGAACAGTTCGTATTTCATAACAGTTGTGGTCGAGAAGCATCCGAGAAGAGCGTATTTCACACAGGAAGTGGTTATTTCTCCTGGTGATCCTCCGGTAGTCGAGATAAGGTACGGTCATAGAATACATAAAAACAGGAGTAACAGATAACATAGATAATTCAAGGAGGCCCTGCGCCCACGATAAAGATTTTTTTTATAACTTTGGAGCTAGATAAACATTAATTTACTTATTGGAATTCACCATTAAGAGACGGGAGGCACCTAAGTCGGTAGGTGCATTAAGTTTAAATCATTAGTATCTCAACATTGATTTAATGTTGTCATAGTAACCATATTTGGCAAAAACCATCACAACTTTTTGCAAAATAATTTGGCACATTTTCTACAGCATGTGCGAGTAATTCTGATAAAGCATTAACTTGGGTTACGGAGGGCTTTCCTTTCCCGGTGAAGAGTCCATTTTATCCGGCGCGAATGAAGACTTGAATTCACTGCAAAGACAAAAAACGTCGAAATCACAGACCGTGTGTGAAAGACCGGAGCTCGTAAGAAAACGATAACAGAATTACAGAGAAAATGTTTGGATGGTATTTCTTTATCTAGTGTCCTTTTATTGCGCGTTATTAATTTGTTTTGTTCTGTATCCTAGATGTGAAGATAATTGTGACTTAAAAATGAATCCCTCTCGTCGTTTAGCGCTTGAACGACTTTGCGAGGAGCTTGACTGCAGAAGGGGCCTTTCTTATCAATGGACTCTTTTTGAGGCCGATGTGGCGAACGAGTCCAAATGGATTCGAGTCAGTGATTTACAAGAAAAAATTCGTACACGATTGACCTCGCCGAGAGTCGTTTTAAACCCTGGAGTACTGAAATCCAATATGATTTATAAATTCGTGTTAACTGCTCAACGGCGCGGAGGACACGCGGGTTACTCTGAGTACCAGTTCGCCACTTACAGCTCCCCTACTGAGGGAAAATGTGACGTCACCCCTTTGTCTGGAAGAACACTGGAGACTACCTTTACTTTCACGTGCAGTGGCTGGGCATATCCAGATCGTCCTTTGCAGTATTCATTCATTTATTTCATCGATGATGTTTTTCCCAACGTTGTATACAAAGGGATGGAAAGAAGTATTAAGACAACGCTTCCCGCTGGACAACAGATAAAAAACTTTACAATCGACTTTCGTGTACGAGTGGCTGACATGTTCGGAGCCTTTACTGAAGTGAGGATTCCTGTTCAGGTATGGAACGATTGCATTCGAATTCAGACAATTTTCTATGAGGCTGCATTATTTTGACAAAAGGAAAGTTTAAAACTTTTCATTGCTTTATGATGAAAGGTGAGAATCGTGCGTCGATTTTACGAGCTGGTGTCTTGCAGTAGTGGTAGATTTTTGAACAGTAAATGTTGACCAATGCTTATTACCTCTTTGCGAAATATGTGGCCAACATCTTAGTTGGGTAGGTATGGTAGAGAAACACATTTTTTGATGCATACAGTTATGGTGGCCGCTGTAGACTGGCTCTAGCTCTGAAACGGTTGCAATGCAGGCTTCACATACGGACGTTATGCGATTCAGTAATTTGCTGCCCGTCCTCTTAAAGAAGAAAAAGCCAAATTCATCAAAACGTGCAGCTTCTGCCCATTCATTTTGAAACATTTGTTTATTGAAATGATTCTCTTGATTACTTTTCCTCTTATCTAATATCAGGTGCTGCAGCTTCAGTTAAACGCAGAGAGGCTTGTGGACCGCGCTGCTCAGTTGACGACTGGAAACCAAAGTCAGTTGAATAAATTACTTCAGTCAGGAGACTTGTCACAGGCTGTTCAGCTGGCCAAAGCAGCCATTGTGGCTGTTGACGTTGATGAAAAAATTCCTCAGAATAAGCTCAAAGAAAAGAAGAAAGGGGTGAGTACTCGATAATGGTTTTCATGAGCAGTTTCTTAAAATCTGACGGAAAACTTGCTAAATATTTACAAAGAATTGTAAAACAACTTAATGTAAATTTGGACTTCAAGTTCAAAATAACAAATATTAATTATCCACAAGTTGACAAACTTGCACCGTATGAGGACTGTGCAACAATGGACACCGGAAAGGGTCTGATTTTGGACTGAAAAAAACCTCTCTAAGCGAATGAAAACTTGTCTCTGGGGTGAAATGCTGATCACGACAAGCCTTTCTATCTATAGGTAACAGTCATTCGTAAACGTTATTTTGTGCAGGTGAAATCCAGTATTGTAAAACAGTTGTCTGCTGTACAAGTGGAGACTGCGGAAAGAATACAACAAATATCCAAGGTTATAGCCGAGGCCGTCTCGGTTGTTGGCGAAGTTACCGCAGAAGCACAGGTAAATTTTTTTTACGCATCAATTTTTTTCATAAACATTAAATTTTTCTTAACAACTTTCAAAGCTCAATTTCTGACCTGGAGACGGTGGAGTCCTCCTTGAATGATAGTTTGTGAAACCTTAATAAACACCAATGTGGTGATGAACTTTCAGAGAGCAGCAGCAGATGCCCTTCAGTCCATGACTACAGTTTTGAAAGAAGAATCCTCAGCAGGGAAAAGTTTCGAAGCGCTTTTGGACGGTGCAAGAAGTCTTGCTGCTGGTCTCGGTGGCATGCTCAAGGTGTCTTCATACTGGGCAAGAGAATACGAGATGAGGGACACCCACCAGGTGGATTCGGCCAATGTCCACCGCCGACGAAAAAGCCTTCATTCTCTAGACCCTGCTGTCCAACAAAGATCAAAGCAAGACGCTGCAGCTGAGCTGCTACAAGGGAGGAATGAGGTATAATAGTGCGACGTTTACCTTGGGCGGAATTGGTTGGCTTTACATCTTTAGAAGCAGCGAGCTCCTGCTGGGTTACAAAAAAGCGATTGTAGTCGTTAATCATTCTGTTGGGGAAGGGGGGAATGAGGGAATCTCAAATTAATGTGCTTTTTTCTTGCAATCAGCTTATGAGCAGCCCTAATGAAACTTAATCCACAGACCAGTTCATTCATAAAGAAAACCAAGTCATTTTTAAAGTTACCTCGTAGGTTCAATTACTTCAATCACTCCCTGAATTGTATCAACATTTTTGATATAAATACTGAAAATTAAAATAATTAGCGATCGTAGTTTCAGTCAGCTGCCTTTAAGATTTCTTACTGTACTTTATAGTCAAGAGAACGAGCTCTGGGCCTTTTACAGTCGCTGGATAATGTTGGAAAAACCATCTTGTTTCGAACCATAGTCGGTGAGAAGCCAAGAGAGCTGTCATCCCAGCCTGTGTCTCTGCTTATTTTCCGAGAGGAGCCTCACTTGCTACCAGGATCTGTTTTGTCCAACCAAGACTACAGTTTTGCGCTTCCTTCAGATTCGAATCTGTTCGGCAATAGTACATTGTTTGTGGATAGCCAGGTATTGAAATAACGTCACCTGTTCTTTGACTAATTTGCAACATGTAGACAGTCAGTCTTTTTCTTTGCCCGCCTTAGTCTCAACAGGTTATGGATATCAAGCAGAAAATAGATTTTGTATTAAGAATCGACGAAAAAGCCGCTTTTTAATTATTAACATTATGGTGCACATATTGCTTACCGGTATGTTCTCATGTCAGCAGAAGATCAGAGTAACAGTGACAGCCTGTTAAGGCTTTCTTCCAGAAAAAATTTTCAGTTATTTTATGAACCAAGGTGTCTGAGTTAGAAGTTTACTCTATGTGGAAAAGGTAGATTAGTGGGCCACATTTCACAATTCCGTTTTTACTTCAGATGATCACAGCAAGCTTTGTATCTTACTCGTGGCACCCTTCAGCGGCGAGATTGACAAGTGGAGTTTTCAGCCTTGAGTTTAAAAACAGCTATGGGCATCTCTCTAATGTGACAGAACTGACAACGCCGATGACTATCAAATTGCGCAATAATTACAATTTAATTAACACCTCTCGATCATACTCCGTTGGTACTCGTAAGACTGTGTTCCACAAGATAAATATCACTCATTTGGGGATAACTCTGATACTGAGGGTTCGTCCAGAAAATAGCAAAACAGAATTGTTTGTGACTCTTAAGTTTGGAAAACGACCCTCAGCTAATAACAGCGATATGAACGTCACCGTCCCTAACTTCTCAACCTGCGCTCAGACGTCGTTTGGTTATGTCAACTGCTCAACTGATCCGTATAAGGTACTCGTAGACAGTAAACTAATAAAAAAGACAGGCATTTACTTCATTGGATTACAAATCAAGTCAAAGAGTCCTTCTAGGAAGAGGCGGTGCATAGGACAAGGACGGTCAAAACGCGCATGTGTGCCATATAAAGAAGTCCCTGCAGCAGACGATACTAAAGCAGGACAGTCTCCACACAATCGAATCTTTAGGAAGGGCGATGAAAATTACACCATACAAGTGATGCCAGCTGCCTGTCTCTATTGGAATACCGCAATGTCTAAATGGACATTTGATGAATGTAAGGTAAGTAAGCATTGTTGTTCAGTGTCAATGTTATCTAACCATTTGCTTTATCAAATGAAGTGCGAAACTAAGTTCATACAGACAATTTAGTGTTTTCTTATTGACAATGGTTTGCATTATGAATAGGTGGCTGAAACAACAACTATGGACATGATTCACTGCCACTGCCACCATTTAACTGCATTTGGAGGTGAATTGTTCGTGGCACCAAACCCCATCGATTTTGACAAAGTATTTGTTGAATTAAAATGCATTCCAGAGACTGGAAATGTAGCTGTAATTATAACAGTGAGCTGCGTGTTCGGACTTTACTTAATACTTATACTGTGGGTTCGGAAGGCCGACAGGAAAGATGCTTTGAAGGTAGGTGTCAGTATGTTTCTCAAGGAGTAGATGATGACCTTATTCTACATCCTTTAAATGCGTTTAAATTAAAATCATAAAGTCATCAAACAACGTTCGCATTGTCGTTCATTTCAGATTGGCGATAAACTATTTTTGGGATCTTTATCACCCTGGTGTTGTCGATACGAGATTGAAATATCCACAGGCATTTGGTTTGATTCTGGTACCAGTGCTAAGGTGTATCTAGTACTTGAGGGCGAAATGGAATCCAGTCGACCTTATCATTTAAAGAGCAATTCCTTCATTCCATTTGCAAGAGGTAGCTTAGTGTGTTTTACCCTCTCGGTTCCGAGTAATGTTGGTACCTTACGGAGAGTGCGCGTGTGGCATGACAACTCTGGTGAAAGCCCTTCTTGGTATCTAAACACAATCAAGATTTATGACGCGTTCAGTCAGGAGCTTAAGACTTTTACCTGTCACAAGTGGTTAGCTGTTGAGAAGGGTGACGGATTAATAGATCGCACTCTTGCTGCTGATTCAACTGCCGGGAAGCGAAAGAATTTCTGGGAATCTTGCCGGAATACGGTGGCCGGAAAACTCGGTGATGGGCATCTGTGGTTTTCTGTCGCAACCAGAGCACCAAGTAGGCGCTTCACTCGCGTGCAGCGTTTGTCGTGCTGCCTGTCACTTCTGTTGACCACAATGTTGGCCAGTGCCATGTTTTATCAGTTTGTTCCTGGGCACGTTCAGCAACAGCGCACATTTAGGTTGGGCCCTCTGGTCCTAAATTTGCGACAACTAATTATTGCATTGGAGAGCATTGTTGTAGTTTTGCCCGTAAATTTGATAATAGTAGGAATATTCAGTCACGTGGCGACCAATGTCGACACACCAGGGCAACTTCAAGAAAGATACAAGGTTAGAGAAAGGTTTAGCATCCACAAGGTCACTGAGAAACATCGATACCGAAGAGGCCTTCGCATGACTCTACCGTATTGCTTTGTTTACTTAGCCTGGTTTCTGTGTTTCATCTCTTCAGCTGCATCAGCAACTTTTATTATTCTATATAGTTTACATTGGAGTAGAGAGACAAGCGAGGAATGGCTTATCTCCATTGTTATGTCCTTGTTTGTAGAAATATTTGTTTTAGAACCGGTAAAGATCGTCGTCGTGGCTTTATTTTTGTCGTTCTTTTGTCAGTCGGATGCTGATGAACTTGCTCAAACTCCCAGGACGGTCGTACATTTTGATGAAGTTACCTTTGCCGACGGCCAAAAGGAAGATGAAAACGACGAAAAAATTGCCTCACCAAAGCCCCTGAGCAAGAAAGAATTGCACCGTGCGAGGATCTATCGAATGCGAGAACTGCGTATGTACAAGGCGATACAGAAGATAGTCTGCTATTTTCTATACCTTTTGATACTGATGATCATGTGTTATGGAGGTCGGAGTCAGTACAGTTATTCTCTGAAATTTTCACTAGAGCAAAAATTTGGAGAGGTGAATGAGGTATGTTCAAGCCTCCCTTCATTTATCTACTGTACTATTGAGAGCATGCTTGCATTTTCAATTTTAAGGCGAAATGTGGTAAAAATTGAATCGCTGTCAACTTATAGTAGGGACCTTAAGCAGTCAGGACGGCAACGCCAAGGAAAACTTCGATTAAAAAATGAATTTCTGCCTTATATTAGAATTTCAAAAATGGCTGCATTTGTTTACCGTCTCATACGGTGCCACACCTCAACTTCAGCATAACGTATAAAAGAAGCGTTGATTTCCGTCGCGGTTTCGGTTTCGTAGACGACGCAAATTGTGGTGATTTCACTTTATTGCTTTGCATAGGAAGGCTAAGAAACGTACAAAGTTTTGAAACGCACGTGCTGAGCTATTGTTCTGCCAGTTAGATCTTTTGTTTTTCCACGTCCTCGTTGCAGTCGCTGTCGTGGTTTGCTTAAGGTCCCTAGTATCTTTGTGTTGACTACCAGGAAGGGAATGAGTTCATAATAACTGTACACTGAACTGATTGATTTTCTTTGAATTTCCAGTTATGTAGATTGTTTTTTTTTAACACTGCATTGTTTCGTTAGATCTTGACTCTCGAGAACATGTGGCAGTGGCTTCAAGACGTTTTGTTACCCGGAATTTACCAGGACGGTGAGGACTTGGCTTTTTCAAATTTTACTACGTTCACTGGAGAAGGTGATGTAGTCCTCGTTGGGATGCCCCGCCTTAGACAGCTGAGAGTGAAGAAAGGTGCAAATACATATATGTGTATTATATTTCAGCAGGATGACTGGCAGTAAAATGCTGTAAACCGTTAAAGATTTACTTTTTGACTTTTACTTTCTTTTAGATTCATGTCATGTCGTTAAGGAAGCGAAATCTCTATTCAACTCTTGCATCGCGTCATATTCACTAGAAGCTGAAGATAAAACGGATTTATATCGGCCAGGATGGCTTCCACTTTTATCGTCACTGAATTCATCAACTGAAACATTGAACAAGGTCTGCCCCAAGCCTTGGCGTTATTCCACAGCAGAGCAAACCAAAAGCTTTCCCTTTTGGGGAAGACTTTATCCTCTTTATAGTCAGGGTGGTTACCTAGCAGAGCTAGGCTACGACAGAAAGTCTGCCACGAAAGTCATTTCTGAGCTGAACATGTTAAACTGGTTTGACAAGTACACTAGTACTGTATTGATTGAATTTGTAATTTTCAACCCTCATGTTAGTCTGTTTAGTGCAGTTTGGATACCGGTGGAGTTCTCACCATCTGGCTATGTGGCTTCTGGTCACATGATTCACCCTCTTCACATGTACAACATTGGAGCTGGCTACAGTGTCGCTCATCTTGTTTGTCAGATATTGTTCATGTTGTTTATTGTTTACTTCGTCTTCAAAGAGACCAAAGAGATGATTCAACAACCAAACCACTACTTCCGTCGATTTCTGAATTGGATTGAACTGGCTCAGATCTTTACAGCAATTTCCTTTGCAGTCGTTCATATCTTTAAAGAGGTAGAACTCTCTGTTCACTCGACTAAACTTCATGAAAATGTCTTCCAGTTTATAAGCTTTGACAGAATCGTTTTACTCGATGATATGGAGACAGCATTTTTGGCTTTATTAATGTTTTTCAACACTTTGAAGTTGCTGTATTTGCTCAGATTTAATACTCATGTTAAACGTTTGTCTGATGTCACGAAGGCGTGTTTCCTGGAACTCGTAAACTGCTCAATAGGATTCTACGTCTTCATGTTCGCCTTTACTCATTTTGGATTCATTCAATTTGGAAGAGAGGTGGAGGAGTATTCCTCGCTCTCTAGCGCTTTCCGGTCCCTTCTCATCCAGGGAGTCTTAAGCGACGGGGCTGAATATCTCCAAGATGGTCATGATGTCATCGGTCCTACTTTCTTCATAGTTTTCAACATCTGTCTGCAAGTGATATGGGTTAACATCTTCATTTCCATTCTTATTTATAATTACCGAACCGTTACGCAGTTCTCTAGAGGAAGATTAAGCTTTGAGAAATTTATGATAAGGAAAATCAAGGAGATCCTGCATTGCATAGGAGACGGGAAACCACCTCATAACGGACCGGGCAACAACAGGAAGAAAAGGGTGCACTGGGAAAACGAAAATGATTCTGTTGAATTGGGTAACAACAACGACGACATCGGTGGGAGCGAAAGAGCCAATGGCAAGACCCGGGGTCCTCCTTTAAAGGAGTTAGACAAGTGCGTCACCCTGATGAGTCTAAAGTTCAATGACCTCTACATTGACGAGTTTATTGAAGACATTGAGGACATCGAATTATTAAACCGGTGGGCGGACGCTCGTGCGAGTAGAAGGAATGTGTCTGAGAATAGGAGGGCTGGTACCCCATCGGACGAAGCTGTACAAGCATTGGAGACCCACAGAATGAATAAACACGTGAAAAGAGGGTGATATGGTTTGATAAGCGAAAAATTACATTAGCAGGTCATCTGATGTATTTGAATTTACTCGGCTTTAAAGTGACTAGTTGTTTGGAGCCAGCGTTGTGAAGTAAAAACCAAATAAATGAGATTGTGTGAAATATGACTGGGAGTTCCTTAAATCTCTTAACGAAGTACTAGTTCGCAAGTTTAAGTGAAGAAGAATTTTAATGAGTTTTCAACAGCAGAAAAACAATTCTTAGAATTGTTATCTCCTTATTAATGATCGCATATCGAACTTTTAACGTCAAATATCACAAATCTCAATCATCAATCACGGAGTGTAGTGCTGGATGGGGGGAAGGATAACTCTTGTGCTTTTGCAATTCTGAAAGCTACACTGTTGGAGGTTGCCTCACTGTTCGATAAACTTAGATTCAATCACTCCAGTGAGATCAAATGATAAAAGCCGGACTGATCAGCAAGGTCGGGACCACAAGAAAACAAAAGTTCCTGCATTCGGGGTCTATTTTAATCTCATGAAGGAACAGTTCAAATTTTGTGTGGTAAAGCTGGACATTTTTTATTACCCGTAGCTTTGATTTTTATAAAGTGTTCGGTAAAATACTACTTCCAAAGGTTAAAGAGTTTAGTTTTATTTATCGACTACGTTTAGACTGACTTTTATCAACCTTTCTTCTTCATTTAGCATGAAAATAGCGGGAGGATTGCGTGGCTGCAATGTGAATAAAATTTCTTACCCTAAACACTTATTAGAGACCTTTAGCAGTTAGGACGGCAACGCCAAGGAAGACGTCGATTTAGAAATGAATACATATTTTAATTTGGAATTTCGCAAATGACTGGATATGGTTATTATCTCTTACGATGCCACAGGTTGATATCAGCATAACGTATGAGAGCGGCGTTTAGTTCCTAATGGATACTTAAATAATCTGCCGTCGGGGTTTCCATTCTTGGACCACGCAAATTCTGCTGATTTCACGTTGTTATTTTTCAGATGACAGCTAAGAAATGTACAAAGTTTTAAAACGCACGAGCTGAGCTATTGTTCTGTTCATTAGATCTTTTGTTTTGCCACTTCCTCGTTGCCGTTGCCTTCGTGAATTGCTAAAGGTCCCTATTGTCAGTGCGGGGGAACGGCTTCAAGACCTTGATATTACTGCACACCTACATTTAACAACAAGACCATCTGTGGTTTTTTGAAGCACTACCACTAAACTTCCGTGCATGCTTTCCTGTACGTCCTCGATGACATTTTCAGCTCCCTTTAAGTCGTTCCTTTAAGCCAATCAGGGATTGCACACGCTTCATCGAATCGAATTTGGTAATTCCGCCATTTTTTCTTCGCGTTGGTTTGCTAGTGTCTCTGGTCTGTCCCGAGGTCTCCTTTGTTCGTTGGCCCTTTATTGATCTATACAGTTTTGTCTCATTGAGGGGTCTTAAACATTGTTGGGTTAACGGAAGAAACCGTGAAGCATGATTTTCCAAGTCGTTCATAGATACTTTTAGGTTATAAACAAAAGTCTATAAAACTCTATTGGTTATAAGGTGTGAGGACATAGCTACAAAGGAAGACACAACTGCAACGCTACAACCATTCGTTTCATCGCCCAACCTCTCTCCGCCCTGCCGGGAGTGGAGCGCACGAGCGCTAACCTCAATGACCGTATTTCCTGAAATAAGCGCCCGGGCACTTATTTAAAATTTCGACTTGGAGGGGGCGTTTATTTGAAGGAAGGTGCTTAATCAATGGGGTGCTTCAAAAGTTTTCCTTTTGGCTAAACCTTAAATAGGGTAACAAAATCTGCAACATTATCCACGAAGACGATAAGTCATTATCAACATCCTCCGCTAGCTTAAACAAAAGGGTAAAGACCTAATTGCTTTAAAAAATGACGGCGAAGAAACCAAGAAGCAGGAGGACCAGGCAATTATAACTAAGGGCCTGTTTACATGGAGGTGGGGGACCCCAGGTAGGTGTGGTAACCCGCCTGTCCATATAAATTCTTATTTTATTTTGATCACGTTTACATGATAGGCGGGTTGCCTGGTCTACCAGGTAGGGAAACCCTGTCAGCCGGTGTGAAAATTTGTCATGTAAACGTGTCAAGGCGGGGTAACCCGCCTAGCCGAGGTTGCGTGCATGGCAAAAAAGCGAAACATGTATGTTTTAAAACTTTGTGCATTTCCTACCCGTCTCATGACAGAAATCGCCAGAAACCGCAAAGGACACACAAGGAGAGTAAAATGTTCGCATTTCGCAATATTTAGCGTTGTAAATCGACCATATTTGGTTTCCCAAACTATTCCGTATAACGTATTAAGTCAACGGTTCCTCGCGAAACCAAACATCGCGTAACACAACGCGTGACGCTTTTATGAATCAATACATATGTGTCCGAGAGTTAATCTTCCGTCTTATTCGAGATGTGAGCTTGGGACGCCTCTGCTCAAACTCCTTAATTGCAAGCGCAACAACAACCTCAAGAAACCTCACCCCAGCACCCCGGGGTTGTAAGATTGCTTGTAAACGCGTTTTATTTTTCGACCACAGCTAGGCGGGTTACCTCACCTACCTGGGGTCCCCTACCACCATGTAAACAGGCCCTTAATTCCATCGTTTGAGTTTACCATGGAAAAATGTGCTTTCTAATGAATAGTTCGCGCTAAAAGCCCGTGCAGTTAGACGAGCCATTCAGGGAAGGGCTCAGTAACCCACGTGTAGACACAAGTCTTAAAATAGCGCACTTTTTGGAATCCTCTGAGAACTCGTCTAAAACTCCGTTCCTTTCATGGAACATGATATGTGTGATCTTGGATCACAAATCCAAACCCGGATCCTCCCAAAGGAACGCACCCCTCGCCATTTTTTTGGGTTCTTTTACGGTAGAAAACAGAGAACAAACAGACAATTTCATAAAACGAGGGCTTCAGTGAATTTTCTCAATATTTCATGAGACCAGGACGTAAGGATTACGAGAACATTCGACTGAACAACGGTTTTCGATCATGTTCTTTCAAAATTTTTTCTCAAAGGCGATCGTGGGAAATTATTTTCTGTAGGGCCTACGTGCATACGACAGATTCTTCTGTTGGCGCCAACCTGAGGGATGGAGGGAGTCAGCACAGCAACTGAACTGAGCAACGCACTGTTGTGTTATTATTCGGTACTTCCGAATAATAATATATTCCGAATAATAATAATCCGAATTATAACCTCGGAGCGATATCTTCAAGTGCACACTGGGAACGAATTCTCGCAACCAGTGTTTTCTTTCATTCGCGCTCCCTTTTCAGCCACATGCGTAGATGATCTTTAAGCGACTGCTAAAACAAGGTATGTGCCTTCCTTCTTATTCCCTGCACTGCTCATGTCGTTTAGTGGTGGTATAAATGACTTGTTCTCGGGTGGCGTTTTAAACACCATGCAAGTTTCGCAATGAATTTTGCCATTACTCTTTTAAAGGATACAACCAAGATAGAAGAAGCAATGGTGCTGAGCTGTTGTTTCTCTTTCTTCTAATTAAATCCGTAAGTATTGAACAGCTTAAAAATGGTTCATATGAAAACCTGTTGCTTTTGATTGTAGTGATAACAGAGAAAACGAATGATTTTAATTGACGTCTATTTAGCATGAAGCTTACTTTAAGTAAGCAGTAAAGCTTCTTCCAAGTTTGCGAGACGTTTGTAAGCGAACGATGAGTTTCAAATAAAGATGCATGGACTCTCATGTATGTCTCTTTTTTTTTCAATTATCTTTAGTTATCAAGACAATAAATTTGTGCTTATTTAATCCATTAAATAAATAAACTAATTCAACTTCTTTGAAGCTTGTAACAGAAAACTTACAACACCTTATAGCGGAAAGTTTAAAAATTTAATCAAGTGGAATATTTATTTCGAATTTGGTATTGTAGTCAAAAACTTGTAATGGAAGGAGAGTTTGTGGAGCTGCCTACAAATTTAGAGAAAGCTGTTGTCACGCAACATACCTTGTCACTCGTCATTGAATCAATGGCGATCTGTAAGTATGGGTGGGGCAAGTTGGTAAAATAGATTTTGTTCAATTTTTTGACGTTAGGATGCTTAACAAAACTGGTGATTTTAAAGGATATTTTTCGTTGGCTGTCACTGTTATTTAGAATTTCCACCAAAAGCTTTTAAGATCTTTTTGATATAGAGTCAAAAAACGGGAAAGGTTTACCACTATAGTGTACAAAGATATAGAGAACTACTGAACAACACCGTGCTGTTTGAAAAACAAAGCATTTAATAGCTATGATTCTTAAAGCCAACTTGGCTTTGAGTTTGCTCATTTTTAGGAAAATGTGAATGAAATTAAACTGGAATAAGCTGAGAAATCAAAGCCGCCAGTACCAAATTTGCTGGATGTCACGCAAGGCCACTTTACTGGAATTACAAATTGAAAATAAATTAGATAAAGTATTTTGTTTATAAATCTTTTCAAAAATGCCACTCTCATGGAAAATCTACTTAAAGAATGCTCTCTGCCAATGAGAAAACCGTAGCACAAGAAATCAAAAATAGAAAAAAATTTGGAATAAAGTTACAAGTACTGGGAAACCGTTTACAAGTTTATCGAGCGAGGACAGCGGATGGCGGACGGTGGAAAACAGAGACAACATCAGAAATGAATTATTTAAAACTAGGTCACCATAAGACGAAATATCTTCGGGATTACTGCCAGAAATCAGTCTGAAAAAGCTCGGAAAGCTTGTATACATAGACAGATGCAGAATTAAATACTTGAGTGTGTGGAGTATAAAATTTAGAACACTTAAACAATTTTCGACCCTTTCCGAACTTTTTCAACAAATTTCTAACAGTGATGCGAAGATGTTTCTGCTTATAATGACGTAATTTTTGATACTGTATTTTTGATTTTAATTTTGTTGTTCCGTCCACTATTCGCAGTCCGCCGTTTGCAGTCCGCCGTTCCCATCTTCGTTTTACGGAATCCCCTTGATTTTTGACACGTTAGCATTT